AGGATATCTTGGTCAATCCTAAAATGTCTTCTGGAATCACCTGGAAGCAAGTTAGGTGACGTCCAGAAATCTGGACACCATTTGGAAACTCCAGTAAAGAGAGAAATCAGAGAGAAGAGGGGTTTGGAGAGGGCGGCTAGGGTTGAGGTGGATTAGGGAATTGATTATAAAATCTGAGAATAATTTCAGATTTTAATTAATGTAAGGTTAGGGGGGATTTCAAATTTGAAATCTGAAATTAAAGGAGATTGGGAGGGAATTAGCCAAGGGATTTAATTAATTGGATCCTTAATTAGAGTTCAATTAATGTGATTGGAGAGAGAGGGAGTGGCAGACCCTATGGAGAGGGATTTGAGGGATTTAATTACTTGGAATTGTGGGCCCAAGAAATTAATTACATCAAAGGAGAACTCTGAAATTATTTTCAGATTTGAGGGATTAAAGGAGTTACCTAATTAGGGGAGGAAAATTGGAAAATGAATTAATTCAAATCTATTTGAATTTGAATTTAAAATTCCCTTCAAATTTTGTCCTCCTAAATTAGGAAACCGTCCAAAGCAATTAATGGGAGGCTAGGGGTGGATGAGGGAGGATGGCCGGCGTCAAAGGGGGAAGGGGGCGGCTAGGTGGCGGGTTGTGGCTAGGTTGGTGGGGGAGGTTGAAAGTGGCCGGGGATTGAATTGGAGAAAGGAGATGAAAGAAAATACAAATAAGATAAAAGTAACTAACCACGAGCCATGGACTCTTCCAATGAATGGTGGGTATTGCGCTTGCTCACCTCGAGCTCTCTCTCCCTTCTCTCTAGTGCACTCACAAGAAAAAGAAGAAGAAAAACACATAAAATTTCATTATCAATCATCATCCCAAAATACAAAACAACTAGCCTATAAATAGGCCTCATGAAAAGAAAAGACATAAAAGACTAAAATGTCCTTCAGGCTACAACACTACATGACCACCTGTAAAGGTATAAAGGGAAAAACAACAATATAAAATAAACTAGTACATAAAACATATAAATAAATAACTCAAGATCGTAGCTGTTGATCTCCGATGTCCTCATCATTCAGTTTTAAATCTACTCAAGTGAAAACCTTTAGACTCTAAAGTTGACCTCCATAATTCAAGTTTACCTTCAACTTCCTCTCTAGTCTTATCAACAAGAAGAATATCATTAGCAAAAAGCATACACCAAGGTACATCCTCTTGCAAATGTCTAGTGAAAACATCTATGACTAAAGCAAAAAAGATATGGGCTTAAGGCTGATCCTTAATGTAATCTAATCGAAATAGGAAAATATTTGGTCAAACCACCTTGTGTTTGAACACAAGTAATAGCTCCTGCATACATATCTTTAATGATTTGAATATAAGCGTTATTAACTCCTTTCTTTTCAAGAACTCTCCATAGCACTTCTCTTTGAATTTTATCATATGCTTTCTCTGAATCAATAAATATCATAAGTAGATCCTCCTTATTCTCTCTATATTTCTCCATCAAACCTCTCAATAAATGTATGGCTTCCCTAAAAGACCTACCCGACATGAATCCAAATTGATTTTGAGAAACATTAGTATCACGCCGCAACCTATGCTCCACAACTCGCTCCCATAGTTTTAAAGTATGATACATTAACTTAATTCCTCTATAATTCGCACAATCTTGTGCGTCGCCTTTATTCTTAAAAAATAGAAATTAACACACTCATCTCCACTCATCTGGCATCTTTTAGTTTTCAAAACAGTATTAAAAATTTTAGTAAGCCAAGAAATTCCTTCATCTCCTAATCATTTCCACACCTCTATTAGAATATCATCAGGTCCAACAGCTCTTCCACACTTCATTTTCTTTAAAGTCTCTCTAACTTCAGTTTTACTAATACGCCTATAAAACCATAAATCTTTATTTTCATTAAGGATGCTAAGGTCACTAAAGTCAATCATATTTTCACAACCATAATTAAAAAGTTTAGCAAAATATTTCATCCGCCTTTATTGAATATCATCTTATAAAAAAATAATTTTTGATCTTCATCCTAAATACACTTCACTTGAACTAAATCCTAACTACTCAAATCTCTTTGTTTGGTTAACTTATGCATATATCTTTCTCCCTCCTTAGTATCTAATATATTATATAAAACATTAAAAGCTAAGATCTTTGAATCACATATTACTTTCTTAGATTCCTTACGTGCCTCTTTATATATATCTCAATTATCTAAATTTTTACATCTACACCAAATTTTATAACAAATCTTCTTATTTTTTTATCTTTTCTTGTACATTTGGATTCTACCACCAACTATTTTTATTATTATGAGCTTTTCCCTTTGATAAATGTAAGATACTTGAAACAAAAAAGAGCACTGTGCACACAACTCGAAGAGGGGAGTGTAAGAAGTACTTTCAAGTCCCCAATTTAGAGCAATTTGCGCATACAACTCAGATTAATGGGGGAAGAAACAATCAATAGTCACAACAAGCAATCAAATTTCATTCATAAATAATCCAAAAGTTTAAACAATCAATCATATTTATAAAGGAAAACAAACCTTAAATTGAGTATGAAATTATTCTTATCCTTACTATATTTAATCGAACAAAAAAGAAAATAAATAATAAAAAATTTGGCCTAAACTAACGATGGGTCCAGAAAAACTTGAAATTTGATCTGGTTTAGTTCTTTTATTGCATGGTTTGACAACTTCTTGGTTGATTATGAGAAACCAAACATGTCAAGGCAAAAACTTGAAAACATATTATACTATACAAATTTTATTACATCAACGGCTTATAGAAGAATTGGTACAAGACCAAGAAACGGACAAATATCATTCCAATTCAAGCTAAATTTAATAAAGGCAGAAAATAAGCATAGACAAAAAAAAACGTTGAAAATAAAAGACAAGCTCCTTGAGCTACTTTCATTTCAACAAGTTGGGTTGTTCAATGCAGATCAAGGAATTTCAGTAGGTAATTTGAGAAGAAAGGTAATGCATAGCAACTGCTTAGAAAATGAGAATATTTCTGCAAGTAACTACGAATGGTGAGGTTGGCTGAACAAAAACGGGTGAAGTGGATAACACGGCTGTCAATGAATGAAGAAAATAAAGAAAAGGAAAAGAAAGAACTTAAAGAAGAATAAATGTACAAAATGTAAATGTTAAAGGATAATTGGTATGGAAAGAGAGAGGTACAAAGAGGAAAGGATAAATGGAGTAGAAAGAAAGATGAAAACTGAGAGGATAGTCAAAGAAAAAGAGTAAAGCAGCGACCTAAATGATAAAGATTGAGTTTCAGAAAATATAATTACAAGAGGTTAGGTTCACATCTAGTCAAGTTGGTATCACATACCCCTGAAATTCAGGACTCAACAAACCCAGCGGATACATCCAAGCAAACTCATACCAAATAGGGAGTTCCCAAGCTCAAATTCAACTCTGTTGAGATCAGCTCCTTGAGTTATAGAGAACCAGTTCATAGCAATTGTTATTCGACTGATGTTTATTTTATTTTTTATTCATGACTATAATTGTGGAATAGAAGTAACCGTTATCAGGATATCAAAAATTGGTGTATCATTGTTCATAAATTATTCTTGTGACTTTAGGACTCCTTTAAGAAGAGTGTGGGAAAAAGTAAAACTATACTTTGTTGTTCTGGCAAATAAACTGCAAGGATATAGGTAAAGATTTTAGTTGCTCTGATGTTGGAATTGGTTGGTATCTATTTATGCTTACAAAGATTCAATATTATTGGAAAATTCACTACATTCTTTCGAGCTGCTGTGAATTTTTCTAGGCTGATTAAGGTCCGGCTATGATGGTGACACTAGGTCATTGTTTTACATTGTCATTTGCTTTGGATGTCAAGAAATAACATCCACTAGGTCATTGTTTTGCAATGTCATTTGCTTTGGATGTCAAGAAATAACATCCACGACATGAAGAACTGACTCTTTTAAGGTTTAAGTTGACCAATGAATAATGCTGCTTAGAAATCCAGTCACAAAGATCGGTGCTATTTCAGACGAGGAAAAATATCAGATATATAACGTTGAAGAAAGAAAAAGAATAACACAAACTTCAGGATGTGTCAGTATTTAGGAATGTTGTTGTGGAAATTATCAGGACTGAGTGGTATCAGCCATGCTACTGACCATTTCAAAATAATTTTGGTCCTATAATGGAAACCATTTCCTAACCCAACCCTGCCAATTTCATTCACAGACATGACACCAAAATAAAGCAAAAAGCAGAGAGATAGCAAATGGCAAATGCAGGCAGTCTGCGATCGTATACTAAACAAAAGGAAGTAAAAGTCATGGAAGTATAATCTATCACACTGGACACAACTATTATAATACTAATAGAGAAAATGATCAAAATGGTCCATTAACTTTATGAAAGATCAAAATAGTCATTAACTATATTATAAGACCATTTTGGTCTCTCAAGTACTTAAAGAGGAATCAAAATAGTCCCACCATGGGACTATTTGGGCTAGTCCAATGGTTGACCCAAGTCAGCCCAAGGGTTGGGCCGACAAGGGTAGGTGTGTTGGACCTAGGGCCACCTAGTGGAGGTGTTGGCTAGGTTCAATTGGACTTAGGAATGGAGTTGGCTCAATCCCAAGTGGTTTGACCACTTTGGGTTAGCCTAACTCCTAGCCCAAGTTGACCCAAGGGTTGGGTCAACTATGGTAGGTGCATTGGGTCATGGGGAACCCAATGATACCATTGGTTGGGTTCAATTTGGATTGGACTAGGAAATGGCTCAAAGGAAACCTCTCTTTAGGCACTTGGGTCAAGCCAAGTGGCTAACCCAAGTGGGCCCAAAGCTTGGGTCCTCAAGAGGGGTCTCTTGGGGACCCAATGGGTCATCCCCACAGGTCTAAATGGACTTGGAATGATCTTGGTCAAGAAGTTTGGATCCTTCTTGAAGAGTTAAGGGACCATTTTGATCATTTTCTCAATACTAATAAATATCCAAAAGTTTGCAAACATGACAGAACTAGGCTATAAGATAGCTCAATGAGAACTTCAAAACTAAGGCAAAATTATACTCAGAAAAGACCGCCATACTAAAGATAATCATGAAAATTATACTGAAATTCAAAAGTCCACAAGTATAATAAAAGTAGATTACAAGACAGCTGTCAAATGTAGACTTAACCTTGATGACACCACGACAGAAGAGCATCTCAACTACTTCTTTGACAATTGGAAGAAGACCAGCATGGTGCACCCCAATACCCCTCCTTAGTAGGCTTTGAACTCGAACAATCTGCAATGCAAATCAACAAAACATGACAGCTGTCAAGAGCCACTTTTGATGAAAATTTGGTATCCTTAATTAAAGAATAAATAAACCCAAAACTCTCTTTATCTACTATTAAAATGAGCTGATTTGTGTGATGCTTGCTTACTCATTACTCAAAGCCGAAATACCTGAGGAAGGTTTCTGTCAGAACCTTTCAATCGTGAAAAAGCCTTGTCACAGAAGATGCGTATCTCACTTTTCTCAGAACTACTAGTAAGGTCTGCACTTTTCAAGTTGTCTGCTGATTTGTCACAACGATTCTTAGAGAAGCAGAAGATAACCACCTGTAAATGATGGCAGTGGATTATAAAAAGGACAACTACCAAATATAAAATTTGACAGATTGAAGCGTATCCCCAATGCCCCATAATCATCATCAAATACTAAGGAGCTGTTTGGTGGGGAGTATTAAGGGTGTACTTCTGCACGCAAGAGTTTTAATTAATTAGTTGTTTTATTGAGAGTAAACAAAAATCTTTTGAGGAATTAAAACTCAGCCAATTTCCGTGTATTCCTAAATTCATCCGACTAGAATTTGAAATAAACTGGATAAAAACTATTGCTCTTAACTTGCACTGAGCGACACCCACAACCAAGCCCTCTGCACTCCTGATTCCATAGCCCTCAATGATGACACAACAAGCACCCACACCACCAACCTAGCACATCAGTCGTGCCACCGCATCACCCAACCTTGCATGAGATATGAGGGGCACATTATCATCCGCAAAGGAACCAGACCGTTGCACTCTTGAGGGGACACATCGCGCCATCCGACCACACCAACGACCAACACCAATCCCACCAATCCTAAGTTTAGCAGATGGTTAACCTCCACCTTGCAACCGGAATTTCATAGATTAGGGAAAAATATATATTAAAAGCAATCTCTTGATTTTTTTAATTTCTTATTTTTATTAGTTACAAGCAAACACATAAAAAAAAAACCTAAACTTCAAACCCACTACATTTAATTTTCAGTCTATTTAAAATATCCCTAAATTCTAAACACTTAATAGCCAAACAGCACCTAAGCCTCTTCTATAGGCATTTAATGGTATCCCATGGTGGGACAAGTAAAAGTAATAACACGCACAAACAGAACACTCAAAAAAAGTTTAGATTTTCCTGGCATCTATTCAACTCCCCCACAAAACTTTAATAAACATATTTAGAAGCACTACAAGAAAGATTTATTAAAGCTAAGATTTTGACTGTGTAATCAAGGTACACACAGGCAAAAGAGACTTTTTCAATAGCTTGTGTAGCAGCAAGAACCACAAAGAAGATTCTGATTTCCTTTGTCCCCAATTACTTGAATTTGCTCCACTAGTACCAGGAAAGTTGCTAGTAGATTGAGATCCTGAGTGCATCTGTCCTTTTCCTCGACTGAAATTTTCTCGTTGTCGAGGCTGATTTGCACCATGACCACCTCCCAATAGAGCCCCAGAATTGCTTGCCAACATACCAGAATTCTTTTTCTTATGCACTTCCTTAGCTGCTCTCAATCCTTGGGGTAGAAAAACCTCATTGTCACCTACTCTATATAATTCTCCAGAATAGAATAAGCAGTGCTCGAGGGGAACAGGTCTTTTTGAAGTCCTGATCAACAATGCAAGGAAAAAAATAACATGCAAATCAAACTCATCATATTATATAACAAACAAAAGAATAAGAAAGTGTGCTTATACATATTCAATTTAAGAGAATTTGAAACGAATATACAATAAAAAATAAAGAAAAATAAGCAAATCAATTGGATATAATTAGAAGATATCTTTCTAAAAATTAATCATTACCCGAGAACACGAATTTTTTTTTGCTTTGTGCGACCAATCCAGTCAGCAAATTCAGTTGTGTTTGGGACCTAAAGCATTTCAAGCATCTTAGTTGTGAGGGAATCAACTAGCAAGGCAAACAAAAAAAGAATGAAAATAAGGAGTTAAAATTGTAAATTTATTTTCCAGAAAGAAGCATACAGTGGCTGAAAGCAGAACAATGTTAACATGTCTTGGTAGCATGATGATCACCTCCTCCCACACTACACCTCTTTCAGCATCATTCACATAATGCACTTCATCAAATATAACCTGTTTAAAGGGATTAAAAATACAATCAACAAAATATATATCACAGATGCCATGGACTTAAGTATTGCAAACAGTATAAAGTTCTTACAAGAGACTGCAAAGATCATTTACCCATTCGATATCACGAATAATGTCAGCACCTTTATAAAGCATTGACCTCAAGATCTCAGTAGTCATGATAAGGCATGATGCCTCCGGTCTCAAACTAACATCCCCTGTTAGAAGGCCTACATCAAATTTGCTGGAAAAATCTCTATATTTCTGGTTGCTGATGGTTTTTATAGGAGCAGTGTAAACAGCACGAGTACAATGCTGCATGGAACAAGCACACAATGAAAAAGCAAAGCAAAGAAAACTCATACATAAGCATAATAAAGTGGGTTAAAATAAACGTTCAAAATAAAATCTGGTAACAATAATCAAATTTGCAATAGCCGTAAAATGAAAATTATCTCTCGTTGAGATATCATTATGAAATTCCTGATGGTTAGAAAGGTTATGCAACAAGTGAATAACTTCTCATATGCCATGTTTACAAAGGCAGGGACAAACTACTACCAAAACAAAAAAGCAGAATGCTCTACTGAATCAGCTTCCACAAGGGACTATTTGTTTTATTATAAGCACTTGGAAGTGGACGGGCCTCATTTGTGGAAGCGAGTTCAAGTGTTTGTTTTGTTAAAAGTGAGTTCTCATTCATAGAACTCATTTTAAAAAGCTGAGAAGTTAAAAGTTTAAGAACAAACTATTAAGAAGTCACCTTTTTAACTTTTTTTACCATTAATAACAATTGAATAAGATTACAGTAATGAGATAACTAGTTAGAATATTATGCAGGATCATAATGGTTGAATAAAACTCACTTGTTAATTTTTGTCCAAATTGATCATTGTCACGTGTCTATCTTGTTTTTGCACATATTTTAATTATGTTTTAATTAAGTCTTGATGGCATAATAAGTTCAAATATTAAGCCATATTAGTTCGATCTATTTTTAATAGGCATTAAGGACCATATTCCAAATAAAGCATGACCTAAAAATAGAAAATAAAACATTAAAGTTACATTTCTACTTTTCATCTCTCGCTTTCTTTTTTTATTTCTCGTTCTTCTCATCCCTAAATGTTGCAAATTAATTAGGGCCTCCTCGATCTCATGATGCTTATCCAAGTGTCGATCTTTCCTTGCAAACCATCTCAAATGATCACGAACCATCATCTAATGAAACCTTCTTGCCCATCTCTCACTATTCAATAAGAGCCGACCATGCCTACAGGACCATCGAGTCATCGTGTCTTCTTTGTAGCAAGTAATGTGATTTCATCTATTATGCCCCGTGTAGATAAGTCTTGCTTTCATAGTTGGCCTTAACTAAATTTCACCCAAAACTGTATATCACCTTGCACTCCCAGAATCATGCCTCTTGAACTATGTTCGACAACAACTTATCCCGTTGTTTCCTATTACATAAACCCTATCCACACACATTCATGTTTCTTACATGTATCCTACTTTTGCCATTGCACAAATCTCACTCGTTAGTCGCACATCATCCACTTCAACATGCAACTATTCGCATTCCATTAAGACTTTGCCTATATAGTGCAAGCTTTTTTCTAGTCTCCAACATGTGCCAACCCATGTGTACATCACGTGTACATGCCATCCAACATCATGTGCACACCAACCCTCCAATACAACACTAATCAACCGAAAGCTAGTTTTCCCTCCATTGGCTCAAGTCAGCAAGCTCTCAACACAATCTTCTTTGGTGAAAGCATGTTATTTCCCTTCCGGCATACAAACCCTACAAGCTTTGCAAACTCTCAATCTTTAGCATTCTCGTCTCTCCCTAAACAGTGCAACATCCACCACTCACCTGTGATTCGCTTGGGAAATCCTTCTGCTACTATAATTGTTCATGATAACCACCTACACGCATTCACACAGCTCGACTTCTTTGGATTGTCATATCCAACATGTGATCTAATACAATCTAAGTGGTCTATTAATGTCATATAGAACACAACATCAATAATTGGAATAGCTTAGAGATCCCTACTACTTGCACCTTAAACAGCCCTTCCACAACAACTCGAATTGTCTCTATTCTTTTTACAACAATTCAATAACCTTCAAAACATCTTCATGATCCCCACGACACCATAAGATATATTAAACTTGTATATTCTAATCATGTACCATATACCTCTCATCATGATCTTTCTAATGAACACTATTATGAGAAGAGGATTTATAAATCATGCTTTTTCTAATCATCATACTTAGGATTGTACTCTTCAAAAAACCAAGATAAATTATCTAATTCATATCAAGATAATCAGCAATCATATATGACGATCATATATATTGTCATCCTCAATATCATGATCCTAACATATCATGTCATGACAATCAATAATACCCTCATCAACGATCAACTATATTGTAATTTTGATGCTCCTCTCTCTTGATATGTTACCCATCCAAAACAAAACCACGTTGATCATTCCTCTCCTAAATCTTATCAAGCCTCCATCATACTAAACCTTGTGATGAAATATTCAATGTTAAATTAGATTGGTGCCTTAAGGACATGAAAAAATTCAAGTTACTTATCCATCCAATAACTGCATGCTCAACTCCATTAATCCAATAGTTTCCCCTTCTTGGTGTGTTTGAGACCTAGTATTACAATTAGTTAATCTTAAGCTTAGCTTTGTGCTTAAGGATGGGATTGAGCCAGAGCATGCATGGGTCATCTTTACCAAAGACTGATGTTGCATCCAAAATGTGTGGAGCCTTAAACCAGTATTTTCGCTCCACAACCTCTACAAATAAATATACAAGTTGTTTTCCAACTACTGTTACTCGAAGTATCATCAGTAGACATTGCCTTTCCATAGCTTTCACCATTAAATTATTCTATAAGTGCTACACAAAGTGGCATAATATAGGGAGGTATCTAAATTCTCCACAAATGATAGAAATTTTTCACAAAATATTACTTAATTTATATTATCATTATATTTTTCTTCATCCATATATATTAACTTCATAGTTTGACCATTGCCACAATTAGTCATAGTATTCTAACCCATATTATTAATTTAACTCATACTGTCAACATCCAGAGCCAAAGCCCCCACGTCTTTTTACAAGTTAATAAGTTTTTTATTATTGCCACTATTTGCAATACTAATGCTCCAGTTCCACCACCATAGCCACAACCTACTTTCAAGATGAGGGGTTTTTTTTTTTTCGTCCCACGTGAATTAATATAGAATCATCATGGTAGAATGAAACTCAGTCACAAATTTTTACTAAATCGATCTTTGTCACGTGCCCATTTATTTTTGCACCATATTTTAATTAAATTTTAATTGCATGGCATATTAGCTTGGGTCAGTTTTACAATGTATTGAGAACTTATTCAATTAAAGGGCACCCTAGAACTAAAAAACATGAACAATGATTATTGATGGAATGATTTGGTTGAATAAAAAATTATATTTTATTTCATCCCTCTCTCTTTCTCCCAGTATCTCATTCTTCCTGTCACTATATGATGTTTTCTACTTTTACTAATAAAAATAAGTAATGAAAAAAATAATTTAAAGGTGGGTAAAAATGAAACTCACTATAGCCCAAAAAAACATAATTAAGTTCACAATAAATGAGTTATTGTAGGTCATTTCAATGAAACTTCTTCGAAATTAAGATGCAAACACTTAAATGAAAAAAATAAACATCGTAGAAAATAGTTTACAATTATGAAATAAAAAAAATCATACCTTTGATGCTAATGCAAAAGCATATTCTGCAACAATCGTCTTTCCAGCTGATGTATGAGCTGCAACAAACACAGACTCGCCCTTTTCAAGATAGTATATAGCCTGCACATGTTGGATTGTTGGTAACTAAAGAAATATCATTTTTTTTTGGAAGAAAATGATAATTAGTTTTAATTTTGACAATCCCAACAACAAAAACTTGCCAATTAAATAAGCAAATGGCAAATCAATAAGTTGTAAGGCAATGGCATAAAGAAGAATTGACTCTTTACAAACTCCTATAATGTTATAATATGTATCCACAGCATACCAATATTAACTAATAAGAGAAAAGTTGAAGTTGTTGGAGAAAATTTTTAAGGTTATTAAGAAATACATTGACGAGTTGAAAGAAGTGATATGAACTTCCTCAAGTATTAAAATTAACAAATTACAACTTATAAACCAATAGCTTATTCACCATGGTCAAATATACCAATGAGCGGTAACTGAAGCAGCATGCCCACTGGTTCTCATGACAAAGGTCACAAGTTCAAGGTTTAATTCAAGTGGTATGCTCCTTTAAGGAGAACATATAGAGAGTAGTATGTTTTATGGCTTCTTGTGTTGAGTTTATGCGTCTACAACTTTATTTATGTTTGGCTTATCCTAAATAAAATATATATGATAGATTTCTATGCTTAAAAAAATTGTGTTCAAATCTATCATCAATTTTATTTTAAAAAAGAATGAAAAATCTTATCATCATGTGTAGTCCTAATGTGGCTTATATCTAACCAAATATCACGTATGAATGTATAAGCTAATGTTTAAGAAAAATGTGACTAGCTTTGAGGTTAGTTTCAAAATAATACAAAATGCAGCTTCATTAAATACTACCAAACTTCATTTAGGTAGGTCATAAACAACCCTTTATGACTAAACAATAATAAGATCCAAAAAATCTTATAAACTGTCAAAGGAAAAGTGCCAACCACTTGTATGTTTGTGTTTAACTATTTAACCCCATACTTAAACCATTAAGTCTTCCTAAAAGTGCAAGACAACATGCCATACTCTCTATAATGGACAAGGAAAAGCCACTTGCCTAGCAACAGGTAACCCTTAAACCTATTAAGCACAAATGAAATAATCCATGACAAAACAAATAATCTAACCCTCAAGAGTAAGCCACCCACCGGCCACCACTGCCATCTCCACCCGCCACCGGCCACCACCCGTCGTCGGCCGCCACCACCCACAGGCCACCACCACCGTCACCAGCCACCATCCACCGCCGCCGCCACCTGACGTCGACACCATCTTTAAAATTTACACTACATTCATTTTACTTCAAACCAAGTAAAAAAAATCATTCACCTGAATTTATTTTACACTCTTCCAAATAACTCCAAAATATTTATTTTACATTGTATTCCTTTTACACAGCATTCTTTTTACACAGCATTCCTTTTTTAACCAACCAAACAACTCCTAAGGGGATCAAAACCAATCGCTCTACCTATGATTTGCACACATGAGAGCAAATTTTTTTTTTTTTTTTTTTTTTTTTTTTTGTCATTTTAGTTTCTAGCATTTATAAATAACCGAAAAGTTAAGCCCAAAGAAATAGTCAATCATAAGTATATTAAAACTCAATTACTCAATTCCCAAAAGCAGGGCAAAGTAATAGAGGCTTTGAAAACAAGCATGGCCTAAAGAAAAGAAGCTCAAGCAAAAGTAATTCTTTTTATAAGCACACAAAACCCAATGCATAAATTAGAGGAACTTGAAAGACGCCAATTTTAACTATTATTGTTGATTTTATTTGAACAAGGTCCTATCAATTCCCGCTGATATTTCAAAATTGCAGAGATCCAAACATTAACTCATTATTCCTTCTCTCTAGTCTGTCTTTCTGATAGGAAAAATGTTCAACGTTCATTCATGATTGCACTTCTTCCAAGTCAAAAGCAACACTGAACTCACTATCCTTCCTCCAGAATTTCCTGGCAAATATAAGCTACCATAACTTTTTTGAGAAAATTCTAAGCTGCTTCAAATCAGCATCCTTTATGTTACTTCCTACCATCCCAAATCGTGAAAAACAACCAAGTCAAGTGATCATGAAAACCCTGAATTGATTGGAACTCAACCTATAGCCATACATTAGCATTAACTGATTATGTACGCACAAAATTCTTGGGTTTTAGAAACCAAAAGACTAAACTTCCTTGAAGATAAAGACAGGGAACATAAACACAGGAAAAGTACCATAATTAACTCCAAATACTATTTGTCCATACAAGCAAGAGGGACATTAGTCATCACTAAAGACCAACCTTGGCTGAAATGGTGATTTAAATAATTAACTATAATAGAAGAACATGGAAAAAAATAACTACAACTCAACTCTTACCTCCTTCTGAAATTTATCCAACTCGAAAGGAAAATCAAGTGCCATTTCAGGAACAAGCTCATGAAATCGACCAGCAATCTCATCACTGCCACCTGGAGAAGCCCACACCTGCACCTACAAGATATAAGCAAAGGTAATCAAAAGTATAAATTGCCGCCGTCCAAACCCATAATATGAATGCCGCACCAATAAAGTGGATTAACATACCATTTGCTAAAAGAGTGATAATATGACTAACCGAGAAGCAAATAGTGTTCATAAGAATAAATCATGCATTGATGCAATAAAGGACTCTAGCATAAAGTTTTCGAAGTAAACAGCTTATATAGTAGTAGAAGCAGTTTTTCCTCTGTGGTTAATCCCATAACTGTCAGTGATTGATTATTTAAACTACAAAATATTATTAAGAATCCAAAATTTCATGTAAATAGGAATATAAAAACAGCTTTTGGAGTCGTATAAGGAACATGTTGAGAGAACAAAGGGTAAGAATCATAATTGTCAATGGCAAATGGAGCACCATGGGCCAAAGTTCCCCGAGGAGCCATGTCGCATAGCGCAGGACGCGACGCACACTACTTTAAACATGGCACACAATTTTAAAATATACATTAATATAAAATATCATTAAATAGCAAACAATATATCGTTTTGAGTAAGATTTAAGCATATATATCCTGCTAAAGAAAAAAAATTACAACTTTAAAAATTACATAACTTATATCGATAGATTGAGCAAGATTTAAGCATAATTTTGCATAAACAATGCCAAATAGCAAAAATGGTAACTTTAAATCCTACAAAAAATTAAATCTCGTTCTTTCTCCGTTTTACTTCAATGCAATTTAACCAAAGAAGCGCGTGAAAGGGGCAAAGCGATGGTTACCTTCTCTATGAACCCACAAAGCTAAACCAGCAATGAAGAAATGGCGATGAGAAAAGTAAACCCTAAATCCTAATAAGATAAAATTAAGTTTTTGATATTTCATTGATTTTTGTTGCTTAATTAATTAATAATTAATTGTGATATTTATATATAAACTTTAAAAAAGTTAATTATAATTTATAACATGCTAAAAAATTGTGCACGCTATTTTCGCCTTGTGCTATGCGCCACTGCTCATGTATATCACAAATAATGCACGCTATTTTGATGTGCCACGTCATGATGTGCGTCATGGCGCGCACCATTTTGCGCCACTGATATATATGATAAGAACATGTAGAAATCGCCAATCAAAAATCACAAGTTCTCAATACTAACTATACAATGCTAGATGAGATCTCAAAAACATCAAAATACGCATTTCTACGATATCTAACCTAGAAGCATGCGAGGTCATGTACTCATGTCATACCTCATTTTCCTTATGCCTCTTCTCCTCAACTATTCCACTTAATTTTGTCGTCCCTTTCACAGGTTCAGTAGATAATATTTCATCTAATGCAGAAAGATCTGGATTATCTCTAGAAACAGTAGCCATATCCGCCTCTACTTCAACTTCTGACTCCATCAAACCTGAACTTCTAACCATTTAGTATATATAAGTAAAGCAGCATAAATAAATAAATTTTGAAGATCAAGAATAAATGGAAATTAAAATCCCGATTCCGTATTTATCTAGCATTTAAGATCTAGCCTCAAATATTCTTTATTTATCAGCCTGCAAAATTTTGTTGATGTGAAATAACAAATAAAACATGTTGCTCTTGAAAGGATATAAACTTTTAAAAGAAAGATGGAATCAATTAAAGATCCCATGTTAAGAGGAAGAAAAAAGAAAGAAATACAAGCAACAATAAAAGCTGCTGAAGAGGCAAAGCCATGTAATTGGAAGCAAATATAAAACTTAATGAGTTGTGAATCTGCATATTAGAATAAAATTAATGATGATGTAGAGAGAAATAAATAACAAAGAAGCTCCAAAAAGACCGTGTGAGATGTCATTGTGCACATGTTTCCTGAACACTAACGGCCATTTAAAATCCCTTACTGATCAAATGCAATACGGTCCATTCCCTGCAACATAAAGTTTTATAAAACATGCCTTTGAACATCGTATAAACAACCAGTGGAGATGTTTAACCTTTTAGATGGTTGTTGTCTTTATCACAAGTTTATAGGGCCCACAAAGAGGGCAATATTCATCTGACAGATAAAGAATGCTTCAGGCTTCTTTGGGAGGTTGGAAGCTATGAGTGTAGGAAATTTGCATATTAGCAAGGTTCTCCGTTTATAGTGAGTGGCATAGGTTCATTTTGTTGTACTTGGCTCATTGTATTCATCTCCCTATTATAAATAGGAAGGTTCTCTAGCAAATAAGGTGGGCCCTAAAAAATCAGAAAAAGCTTGGCTATAGCATATAGGCAGGGTCCCGGAGATAATAAGTAATTCAAAGTTTAGTTCGTCAATTTCTTTGAAGAATCATATAGCATAGGAAACAAGAGTGATTCTCAGAATAGAATGGTTTTTGCACAATCAGGAAAATAAATAGCCCATTTCATGGATGCCATGGAAGCCAAGTTTTGCTCAAAGAATGTATATGCAAATAGTCATCTATAAGGTTTAAAATTGGTTCTACAAGGAAAACACCATCCTCAGATCCTAGAAATTTTCGGACCTTTTTAAGGCAAGTGGGTTTTTAACCCATGTTGCCTGGACCAAGCACTTAACTAGTTGTATGTTTGCCATGTTTACCTGCCTCCTGGAACAGTATTAGCTTATTTCTATGAATTGTTTTTGACTTATCAATATGTACTTTACAATTCTAAATCTTATGCAAAAACATTTTGATCATTATTAATAAATTGTCAAGGTAGGCTCTTTTACACTGAAAAAAAAAACAGCTCAAATGTAAAGAAATCTCCCCAATGTATAACTCAAAAGGAAAAAAATTGTTTCTGGCAAAATTGGCCATAACTACCATTGCCCGTATTTTTAAAGTTTTTTAAACACGAAATGCTTGGCTTACAAGAGAAATAATTGATAAATTTCAATCCATTATGTGGAAAAAACATGTAGCCAAGCAAGAGAATGAAATATGGGATATCTTAATATAACACGTATAAAACCCAATCAGGTAAAAACTTAACTTCTAGCAAGAAAGCTTGATTTAATTAATTATAACAATGATAAACTTCCACTGAACAACACTAGTTATATCTTATCCCAACTAAACCAGAAAATTCAACTTCAAATCAGCCAGTGTACAAAATTTCTTGAACATGGCCAAAAGTGCCACTAAAACATAAGAATTAGAAAGTAAGCCATGACGCAGTAATAATGTTAACCCAAATCCAGGAAACAATTAGAATATTGACTGAAAACTTAGAAAACCAAATAAAAAAGCAAAAGTCAATCAGACATAAACACATCTAAATAATAATACTAGCAAATAAAGGTCTGTATCATGATTAGATGGTATCAAATGTGCTTATGTTAATTTATCATCTATAATTCTTTCTTAGTTCAATAATATAGCATTCTTAGGTTTAGGCTTAGACATTGAAGGATCATAAGAAATTCAAGCATCAATCTCAATAAAAAATGTAAATATGTAATAGCAACTATACCACTGATCTCTACAGGAAAAAGAAAATTTTGGCATTCTATCAATTTCTACTTTCCTTGCCGAGTTTCAAACATATTAGCAGATGTCACCATGAACAAGAATGGAAGGAACAAAATTTCAACTTCAAAACATGCTTAAATTCTCAAATAAACATTGACGAAAGATTCTATATTGTTACAAAGATAAATGGATCTTATGTTATGTTGCTAAATTTCAATAAAACGTGAGTTTTTGGTAAAAATGTGAAAGGCCAAAAGAATCAGTACCATTGTCTTCTCCTAGTTCATAAGCATCTTTCTCCCAGGCTTTATTGAATAAATCATCAAATTGAACAGACAGTTTATCCTGCATCAAGAAAAAAATAAGCATAAAGTCATTGATACCATGTAAAAGGCCACGGTGGCCTAAAAACTTTGCTAGAACCATAATGTCATAAAATCATAGCACATGCTTTAAAATCTGTCCAACATTAAGCAACAAAAAGTACACAGGAAAAATACCAAATAATGAAAACATTGTCTGAAAACTGCAACTAGCAAGATAGATATGTGATAACTCAACTAAAATGGAGCCAACCAATACTTACAACATTAAGCAGAAACTTACAGGATTTTCCTCAATCGAATTGTCTCGCGAAGAGATCTGCTCTTTGGCTTGCTTCCATTGGCAAGGAAATCCCTTAATATTATGAAAAAGATATAGTTCCGTTGTCATGCTTTTGTAAAGATATGTGGTCATGGACAAAGAAATAGAAATGAAACCTTCAGATAGCCTAAGTCCAAACCCTTTCTGAAACTTGGAGGCACGGACTGTGCAGTGCCGCCTTTGAAGATTTCATGAACCCATTCACCATTTTGAGCTCCTTCTGGAAATGTCCGCTCTAATTGTGGATTATCCAGGCCTCCCGGGTGGAATGGTCTATTATTAATGCTCCCTCTCACAAAATCCTTTGCTGGTCCTGGCATGCGTGGCAAAATACTTGAATCTTGTGCTCCTTCCATTATATCTACTAAATCAATCTGAAAATGTTTGAAAAATAAGAAGAGCAAACAAATAAAGCAAAACCAAAAGAACATCTGTATAAGTATTCTAAAAATGTTTATGCACGGGTCCACATGAACAGATAGAAAAGCAAGAGTTGCAATGTTGTAACTTTCATTCATATGACCTTATAGAACAATGTAGCAAACAAAAAAAAGAATCTTAATCGTACAGACACATAGTTCGCAGGCATCCACTATGCCCTAATGCCTTAGCGCGCATGCAGGTTATGAAATCATGCTGCTCCTTCTAGCCAAACAAGTGTGCACTTCAGAAAGAACAAAAGAAATGGAAGTACCACAATATTTGTACCTCAATTGATTTTATATCACATGGTTCTGGGTGTTCCTCTTTCTTCGAGCGCCTAAATGGCAGCTCCCAAGCTGGAGCAACAATAGAACGAGGGAATGATGGTTCCAGGGGAACTTTTGCCCTATCAAACCAATCAAATTCCCACATTCTACCAGCTTTCTCAGCAGAAAACTCCTCGGAATCCAATGTTGGGCACACATAAGTATCCTCTAGATGTTTCCTTACGGTTTCTTGTGTTTCCGGAAGGAATGCAGGTGGCTGCAAAAGAAAAGAGAGAGAGAGAGAGAGAGAGAGAGAGAGAGAGAGAAGTGAATTGTGAGAAGCAGATAGCTCAAAAATAATTGGCAGCTGATTGACTTCGTATTCGTAGAAATCATCATAAAAACAAATAACCCACAAAAAAAAACAAATATAATCACATTATGCAGTAGCGAAATCAGGAAGGGGCTGGTACGGTAATGGCAACTTTCATTTTAAAAAAACACTCAGATACCTAGAACTACGCATACCAGGAAATTTTTGCTCATTAACCCTATTGTACTTACGCATGCTATAAAAAACTTGCCCCATATATTTGAGATAAACCCTATGGTACCCTGGGAAGAGACTTTGCGGTAAAATATAAGCAGATGAAACACAAGCAGAGAATATGGAAGAGAAGAAACGAAGGGCATATTTACAAGGATGAAATCGGGGAGGGATTTTAACGGATGTGAGCCTTCAACAGGCGGAAGCGGCTCCATCCTCAGGTGACCGCTGTGACCAGAGAACCCTATCCTAAAAGCAAGCTCGTTGCCCGCCGTGATCCGATCCATGGCGATGCTTAAGAAATTCCGGCGAAATGTGAGCACCCCTCTTCCCTGCTCTTTATTCGTCGCCCTCTACCATGCCCTAGCTTTCATCTCTTGGCGGTAATGTTCTCTTTCGAAAACCTGTACAAATCGACTCGCTGAGCGCAGTCTTCGCTCGCCCGCCCTGTCCGATCTTTCGTTCCCGAAGACTTGCTGGTCCGCATGGTTATATGAAATTGAAGTAGGACCTTTAATTAATATGTATTTTATAAATTGCATAGGCTCACAATTTAATGAATTATTCTCGTATTATGAATATGTGTAGAATATTTAATCATTAGATATTAAAAATATTGGTATTTCAATAGATATATATTGGCAGTCTAACCGTCATATTAATTTAGGAGAGAATATTAAAATAGATCTCCGTATAAAATGATTCAAGTGATTTTTATGATGTATATGTGTCTCATACCTAGCATTAGGTTTAAGGGATAGGTGCTCAACAAGAAGAGCGTAAAGTTGAAGAATTATGGTTTCTAAATTAAGTAATACTTTCCTGTCTTATAGACCAGAAGTATTTATTTGATATTATTATGATCCTTATTATATATTATCAGTAAATAATATATATTAAAAAAATATATCAGTAAATAATAAATATTAAAAAAATCTTGGGATCGACGGTTTTAAATCTATGTAATTTATTTTCATCTTGCGTTTGTTGGAATTTATAATCTCGAGCTGACAACGTCCTCTTAATAATTATATTCTTCTCAATATATCTTTACCTAATTATTAAATAATAAAAAATAATTAGACAAATTGAAAAAAAAAATCCGACTAGTGGGGGCACATGTCCCCAGTGCCCCACCCTGCCTCTGCCCCCATTCCGAGCCTTAAGTGGTGGTCCGACAGAACTCAGGGCCCCAAAAGTGGTAATATTGCGGAATTCAGGGCCACAAAAGTGGTGGTCCGAAGGAACTCAGGACCTCAAGTGGTGGTCCCGTGAAGCTCAGGGCCTCAAGTAGTGGTCCGACGGAACTCAGGGTCTCAAGTGATGGCCTAGCGAAATTCAATGTGGTGGTCGAGGAGGACTGCGGAGCAAGAGCGATCTCCGATCTCTCTCTTGCTCTCTTGTTTGGAGCCCCCTTTCAAGAGGGAGGATGGGTCTATTTATAAATTTACTATAGTGGTATGACCCGTAAATATGAGGAATATCAAGGGTAAATGGGGAGTGGTTTGGATGGACAGCTAATGTTAAATCCCTTGATCGTGTACTGTTCGTCAGACATTTGAAGGTCTTAATGAAGTCAGAATTATGTGATCGTGGGCTCGTTGGAATTTTTTTCGTCGAGCCGCTCGATTCAAATATAAGTATGTCACATTTGGGAAACCGTTTCATAATCCAAATTGTGGTTCGAACCTTTCAACAATGCTACGGGTACTTGATTTGGACTCATTGGGCTCGGATTGAGTCGGATTTGGTGTCTTTGGGTTTGTATTTTCGAGAAGTTAAATTTGACTATAAGTTTGCTTAAATTGGAGTTTGGCTGGTCCCTATTTTACTTTCAAAAGTTTTCAAGTTGAATTTGCCTCGAGATTCGTGCCCAATTAAGATAAATTTTTATGAAGTATCACTTCTAATTTATGGAACTTATATCCAATATTTTTTTATACATGATAGATATGATCCTCATGAGTATTTTTATCATAATATTATTGAATTTTACTATATAAAATGAAAATTATAATTTTCTAAAGATATTTGCTAGTATACAAATTTTCCTATATTTTATAGTTTTTTGTATTTCATATATTAACGAGAGACTGATACAACATATATAAGAAAATGTTATATTTATATGTAAGCAAGGAAGGATGGATGTTAATATTATAACTAATTCGATTTTGCTCTTAAAATATAATACCATGCGTAGGAGAGTAGGCCCATGAACTTTCCTAAAAAAAAAGTTGGTGGTGTGATCCTCGATTTAGCTTGTAACCGATTGATCGAATAACATCGACAAATAGAGGGTGACGACTCTTAAATGATTATTAAAAGTCACATGTGAATGGACTTAAAATAATGAACAATGATGATAAGATAATGACTAGTGACTAACTAGTTGATAATTCTGGTGAAAGAATAAAAACATCACATTAAATTTGAATATCTTGCCTTGCTCTTTATAATTACATTTATGATTGTATTATATGATTGTACTTTGAACTCATTGATATATAGAATTGATTAAACTAAAAATATTACTGATAAAATGTAGCATATCATACTGACATGCTCTATTGATTGATGGGCTTTTTTTACTAGTTTTTCTTAGTTTGATATACATCTTTTAACTTTACTCATCACATTGATTTTATTATTGATTGATATAATTTTTTTAGATTTCTTATTTCTTATATTGATATACTATCAATTGCTAAGTAGTATTGACATTCACTGGAGCATGTATTTTAATTTTTTTTTGGTCTTACAATCAATCCATTGATAAGTTTTTGTTAGGGCTGTAAAAATTGGGTCATGGATTAGGTTCGGGTCAAATACGAAATTGACCCGACATTATTCAACCCGACTCAAACCCGACCCATTTTTGCAAACGGGGCGATTTTCCAAACCCGAACCTGACCCGCTTCAGGTATATTTTATTAAATTGTTTTATTTAATTCAATTTATTTAAATCTAAATCAAATTAAGGTAACATTTACTTCAATTAATTTAAAATAAATCAAGATTAATTTATTTTGGGCAACAATGTTTATAATTTTTTGAAATATCATTTACTTATTTTATAAAAATCCTTTAAAACCCTCCTAAATTAATTAAAAATGGGTAAATCATAGCCAACTTTATAAAATATTGCAACTATAATAATTAAGTTATTTTCCCTATAATAATTTTATAGTCAACTTTATAAAATATTGCAGTCCTCCTAAATAGATACTTAACTAATTCCACATAAGATTTCAAACTTCAAAAGCATGTTTTCAGGGACTAAAAGACCCAACGTCTGTTAGGTTTAAGGGCAATTACCTCCCATCTGGGGTGGTCGTAGCTTTCAAACAAAGTAATCAAATTTCAAATTATCAATATGCGAGAATGACGATTTTATGAACGCAAAATTAATATATATTTTCAAAAAAATTTCATGTAGCTATAATATCAAAGCACTATATAGACTTTTCCTAATGCCTACATTTATTATGGATATTTGCAATTTGCAAGCATCGGATTTCCTTGCTCTTAGCCCGATTTTCAATAATTTTTTAGGATTTAGGCGAACTTTTGTTGATGGTATAACTCAATATTATAAGTGGCGATGAGTGATCAAGTTAGCGGATGTCGGCCTAGTAGGATGACAATAGTCAAGTGACTATAATAAGATAATAGTGATAGAATGATCGTATCACAGAAAAGATGGTTAGAGGACAACAATAGAGCGATGACGTTGGAAGATCATAGTCGGGTGATAATTGTCAGACAATTGTAGCTGGGCGACTCAGATGATAGTCAACAGCATAGGATGATCATACCACACTAATCATATGGTGACATGAAGGTGGCCAACAATACTCATTGGTGTCAAATGTCAGGTAGAGCTCTAGAAATTTTTATATTACTAGGCTCTCTCAAAACTCAAGTCAGGTTTTCCCATATTGGTGTTTGGTAGGCAACCCATATTGAATCATTTGATCAAATAATATTTTTTCAACATCCACATACCATAAAGACCTTGGTTTTGATGGATTCTTCTTGTCGAGCCACTCGATTTGACTATAAGCATATGAGATAAAGAGAATTTTGATTTTTTAAAGTAATGCACCAAAATTTCTAAGCATGCATCAAGTGCTTGAATTGAGCTCATTTGGACTCAAATTGGATCACTATTGATGCCAATGAATTCGTTTCGTCTAGACGAGATGAATGCTTAATAGAATTGATTTTCTGATGACATTTCATTCATAATTGGTTTCCTTATAAGTTGAGGTAATTCTTTTATATTGCACTTGTAATTTTCTTGATTTATAAACTGTTTTAGGGAAGCCTTCCCGGATTTCTAAGACTCCTTGTTGCTTAATGCCAACGCCGAATCTATATTGTTTTGTTGATGTTAGAATCGTTATCATTTTATGAGCCAGCAATTTTAGATTTGCTTTGTTCAATGATGAGAAAATTAGACCCCTCGGGCTCAACCAAGTCGTCAAATTTACTCGATGCATTGTAAGGGATTATCATAGATACTACAATGATCTTACCATCTGACTTGGATGGAGCCCATACTTTTTTTTTTTTTTTGACATTTAAGCCAATTTAAACAAACTCATACACATCGCATACACAAGAGCTGAACCCAAGACCTCTTGGTTGGAAGCCAAAGCTCCCAATCAACAGACCAAGGCGAATTACATATGCCTGTACAATTATAAGTTTTTTATGACATTGTCAACGTAAAATATCTATATCAATAAAATTTATCGGATGTGGCACTCAAATTTCTCAAAAGCAAATTATAATTATATCATAAAAGATAATAAAAATCTAAATGCAACTCATTTTGATAAATGTAATTATTGGTTATCATTTCAAGTGGTGGAATCAACCACTCTCTTAGATTTATGAAATGTCCCCTATTTAAAAAAAAAACGAAAAACATCTCGAACATTCGATCACCACCACTGACTATCATCATTGTTTCATACAATATTCAATACCAATAAAAATAACTTATTATATATACATACTCAAATCTCATACTACTAATCCAAATAATTTTATATACAAGAGACAAACCAGAGATATGATCTACATTAAAAACCATGAAACTTTAACCTAAGTTACATATTACATATAAAAAAATAGGGATCTCTGATCTAAATTCCACCCTTGCACATATCCCTAATCCCTCCCATTTCAATTTACTTATATTAAAAAAATAGGGATCTCTGATCTAAATTCCCTCCCATTTAAATTACTCCATATTACACTCCAGAAAACAATAATTCAAAAGAAAACTTGCTCTGCAGTTGCATAACGATTCCAAAAGATGGTGGCGATGAAGTAGATAATTGATGTAAGTGTAAGAAAAGCTTGGAAAGATCCCAAAAATTCTACAAAATAGCCAGTACCTATGGTGCTGATTATGGCAGCCAATGTACCAGCTGAGTTTGTGATCCCTTCAAGAAGAAGAAGAACAAATAAAATAATTAGATATAAATATTTTAAAAATAAAATAAGATTATAGGTATATATATATATTATACATACCATGTAGGAATCCAGCGTACTTGGGTGCTATGTCCTGGAAAATTACAGAATTGGGACTAAGAAATTTCATAAAAAGAAGATGATTTTGTTCCAGAAAGAAATAAATTAGGTGTTACAGATCATACCTGCATGTTGAGAAGGAAACCAGCCTGGCTGAAAGAGCTCAAGCTTAGAGCTATGGTCATAAGAACTGCAGCCACTGTAGGGCTTTGAGCGTATTTCAAGCAGAGTAAGGCAACTCCAGGACCTATGAAGCCAATTGACTGCACAATGGCAATATAAGCATGGATGGAGAACAAATAGGCAATAAACGCAGTTAGAGCTGCTGATAATCAAGCGAATTATTGGGTCCAATGTACATTTTCCTTGAATGAAAAGTTAGTGTTAGAGGGACTGTTTCATCACGTTTAACTATTGATCTACTTGAGGGTTGTGGGCAACTAGTGGTTCTTGATAGCAGAACTCGTCAAGGCTATACATTTTGTATTTGGAACTCATCCGAAGTCCTTGCATGGTGGATAGCTTCTACCTATCAAAATTAGCTCATTAGATCATCTCCATCCGAACTGCATACCATCGTATGCAATCGGCCATTTGATCCATTCGAACGTCAAATCTCACGCCAAAATTCGGTCCATTCTGATGCGGAGCATATTAGTTAAATCATGGCTTAGGAATAATTTATCTAATTTAGTATCTTTTTCTAGAGAGTTTTACGCATTTCTATTATATTGTTATAAATAGGTGCTATAGGTAGAAGAAGATATATGAATATTTTTGGAATTTATAACAGTTTAGCTGTTTTGAGTCTCAAAGAGCTGTTTAGTTATTCTTCATCTTGCTTCTTCATGTTACTCCCCACATCACATTCGAACTCCAAATCCGATGCCAACATTGGAGTCGCACTGTTCACCTACGCCAATTTGCCGAAGAAGCACGCGAAAGAGGATAAATGAGCAGGAAAGATTATAAAATGCTTACCTTTGCAGGAAGCATTTTTAAGAAGAGAGAAAATGTCATTTGATTGGAGATGAATTATTGCATTTTGGAGTTTTGTTGCATTTTAGAGTGGAAAAGGGGTTTTTTGTTTTGAGATGCCCTTACAAGATCGACTATACTAAACCTATTATTGTGTTTTTTCTTGTTATTTTTTCATGAGCTCATATAGCTCATCATGTGCTATTTGGCCATAATCCTCATTCATAAATGGAAGATTATAAGAAAGAACCTGCGTGGACATGAGACTCTCCTAGAACTAAAATCTGTCCACGATTCTCTCTGACTATCTTTCCTTTACCCCCCTCTCCTCTTCAGGTTTATAATTTGTATATTTAGTAGCCTCATGAGGCTTTCCTCAAGACAATATCGGATGCAACACAAATGGCGCATGCTATTCAGACAATATTGCTACATCCAATATACTAGCAAATTAAGCAGCTCCTAATTTGCTTATCAACAAGTACTGAATGAAGTGCTTACCTGCATTATTTTTCGAACCAGTGTGACAGATTGACCGGACTTGATTAAGAAGTCAGAAGCGGCGCCGGCTAAGTAGCCGGAGAGGGCCATAACTCCCCATGGAAGTGCACTGAACCAAGCAGCTTGTTTCAGATTCACATCATACACCTATATAACAGCGTCGACCCCATGCAGAATAAACTACATTATTAAGTGGGATAATCAAAGAGAAAAGTAAACTGTAATCTGCCGAAGGAGGGCTCTTACAGTCTTGAAGTACACCGGCATCCATGATAGCAGCACAAAGTAGCCCTGCAACAGTTGATTTTATTTAGTGTAGTGGAGTAGTTATGCGGTTAATTAACAAATAAATAAAAATTTTATGTGAGAATATTTTGATGAAAATTTAATTAGATTATTAAAAAAATACTTGGTGATAGAAAAGTCCCCCTCAAACTTAAGGGAAAATTCTATAATATGGTGGTGAGACCTACAATGCTTTATGGTGCCGAATGTTGGCCATTAAAAGAGAAGCATAATAATAAGTATGTTTAGGTGGATGAGTGGCTTGACCCTTAGAGATAGGATACGAAATGAGTATATACATGAAAATGTTGGAGTAGCTAAAGTGGAAGATAAGATTAGAGAGAGTCGCCTTAGATGGTTTGGTCACATTAAACGGAGGCCTTCGGATGACCCAGTTAGAAAAGTTGAGGTATTATATTCGACTTATGTTAAAAAAGGTAGAGATATACCTAAAAAGACTTAGCTAGAAAGTATTAGAAATGATCTTTCTTTATTAGATTTAAATGAGAATTTGACTTTTAACTAGACATAATGGAGAAAAAAAGATTTATGTAGCCGACCCCATATAGTGGGACAAAGGCTTGATGTTGTTGTTGTTGATTAAAAAAACATTTGATTTACTTAGAGATAATTGAATATAAAGTTAATTTGTTATCTATATGTTAAACTAATTTAAAATTTAAAACTCTTAAACAAAATATATAGTCAAGATATCCTAAGGGGAGAGAATATTTATGTCATAATATTTTGATCAAATTTTAATCAAAATAAATTTTAAATTTCTCTAATTTTTATAAGATATGCGTAACAAAAAATTAATTGATAATTTATATATTAAATTTGATAAATGAGTTTTCAAGCTCTCAAAACTTTTTAATAAGCATAATAAAAATTAGGGATTTTTACATACATACCACTTTATTTGTTACATATTACATATTTAACACCTAATTCTTAAATATTACATTAATACCACCTAAATACTATTCTCATAACAAATGTACCACTCCGTCAAACGCTTCCCTCACGCCGTTTTTCTTTTCTCCTTCCGGCCTGTGATTTTCGCTGGAGAACAGAGGTTTCAGCGTCCCAATGACGTCGTCGACGAGGCAATGGTGGAGACGAGCAACTGCAGCAATGAAAGACAAGCAGAGCGTGTACCTGAGCAGAATTGCCGGCGGCGGTGGGCATCGAGCTGAGATTGAGGCTGCCGTGGCCCTCAAAACCCTCCTCATCACTCACGCTGTCCTCCTCTGCTCCTCCGCCGCCCCGAGCAAAGGCCACCTCCCAATTCCTCGTATTTCAGCCTCTGTCGTAGCCTCGGCGTGCTGAACGCCGCCGAGATCCCTTCAGTGGAGTCTATACCTGAGGAAGACATTCTGCTCTCGTGAGTGGCGGAATTGCTGAGAACGGAAATTATGGAAAGGAAGAAGAAGTGAGGAGGAGCAGGAAAATGTCGGAGACGGTGGTGACTGAGGAATGGGAGGTATTTGAGGAGGAGACGGCGACGGCGGATACTCCTTGGGTGAACAGCATTGAGAATCCCTTCTTCTGTTTGAACGACGCCAAGCTTATGGAGGAGGCAAGAGATTCGGGTATGTTCGAGTTCGAGCCAGTTCGCTTATAAATCTCACCGGTTCTTCGTGAAGAGCACAGGCGGGAAGAGCAGAGCTGAAGCCGGGATACCTTCGCTGAAACCTCTGTTCTCCCGCGAAAATCACAGGCGGGAAGGAGAAAAAAAAAACGGCGTGAGGGAAGCGTTTGACGGAGTGGTACATTTGTTATGAGAATAGTATTTAGGTGGTATTAATGTAATATTTAAGAATTAGGTGTTAAATATGTAATATGTAACAAATAAAGTGGTATGTATGTAAAAATCCCTAAAAATTAATCAGTTGAGAGAGAGAGAGAGAGAGAGAAGCATACCCAGTTATTAGCAACGTTAGCCAGAACAATCGCCCATGTCGGCAACTTCGAAAGCAAATACCCCAGCGGCGGAAACTCATGCCTCCCACCTTCCTCCCTGTTCTCAACCCCCTTCCCCTTCTCGATCAACCTCAACTCCTCAATGGAAATCACCCCGCTCTCCCTCGGATCATTCGTAACTCCCACCGCCCACATCGAAAGCCACAAAAAACCCATCAATCCAAAAAACCCAAACGATCCATTAATCCCCACCTTTGCCGCCAACACCGGCGTCGCCAGAAAGCCCATAACGTTCCCGAGGTGAAACCCCGCCATAGAGATCCCCACCGCGCTCGCCCGCTCGTGCCCCGGAAACCACCTCGACAGCAGCGTGTTCATGGAGGGCAAGGCGACGCCCTCCGCTAAGCCGAAGAGCGTGCGCGTGGCTAGTAGCATTGCCGTTGAGTGTTCCGCCGCGTATGGAGTTAGGAGAGTTGCCAAAGACCAGATGGCGACGCCGTAGGCCATTACTCTCTTTCCGCCGTATCTGTCGGCGAGGATGCCGCCGGCGAGTGAGGATGCGAGGTAACCCCATAGGAATGACGACTGCGATAGCAAGAAGCGAGGGATTTAGCTTCAAAAATGCTTGGTTTTGTTAATTCCTTCATAAAAACATATCACAATCTTTATCCAGATGTGTGGCATTTCTGTAAGCAAAATGGTCTGTGTGCTGGTCAAGTGTTTGTACAAATAAGTGCTTTCAGTTCAGCCAAAATTTGAGAGTTTTCATAAAATTTAGATTAAATACGTTTTATATTAAATTTAAAATAAATTTATTAATTTTTATTTCATTATGAAATAAATTTTCCCCTATTTTAAATAATTTTTTAAAAAAATTATCGAGCAATATTCATTTAATAAAAATTATATTATTGATTTCTAAAATTTATGTGTATTATAATTTATACTCATAAGTCATAACTCTTAACTCTTAACCATAAAATTGTTGTATAATTTAAACTTAAATTAAATAAGCTTTTTAATTTATATTTATATTTATATTTATATTATATATTAAAATTTATAGTAATCAAAACTGAAATTGAATTAAATTTAGATATTAAATTTATAAATATATAAAAATTTTGTGTTATATAATCTTGAAAAAAATATAGAAGCATATGCATGCATCAAAAGTCAAAAGTTAGAGTTGCAAGTATTTTTATTTTATTTTATCTTGTATTTATTTGAAAAAGTTGAGTGTTAGAAATATAAATTTGATATGAGAAAATTCTATTTAAATGCATAATAATAAATTTTTAGATTTTATAAATTAAATTATTTAGCAATGACCTTAGAGGTGCAAGTTAAAAGCTCAAAATAGACATGGATATGAAAATCATTAAAAATGATTTGAGATTAGACAAATCAAATTCAATAAGTTGAGTGTTAGAAAGCCATACTTGGCAGCGAGGGGGACGACGGCGACGGACATGACGACGCGATCGGCGTTGCAGAGAGACATCACAAACGCCACCAACGCCACTACTTTCACCCTCTCCGGAATCCCCAACGCCTCCTCTGCTCTTTCTCTCGCCATTCCTCTCCCGATCCTCTCCAATCCAGCGCTACATCGCACGATTCCATCGCATCTGCTTCTTTCCCTCCCCCAAGTTCGCGTAGGCCGAGATCCGATGCTTCGGGTCTCAATGGCCGCTGGGGATGCCTTCTTCTCCGTATAGATCGACACGGATCGGCGAGGGATGGTTGGGAGACTGAGGGAATGGGAGGAGGTGAGGGAGGAGAAGGCATTGGAGCGAGGAATGGAGAGAGACGGTGGGGAGGGAGAAGCTAACGCCATGGCGGAGGAGGGAGAGGAATCCGATCGAATTGAAGCCTTTGTCTTAATTATGACTTTAGTTGGTTGGAGTAGTGTACTAAATAATCGACTTAATTGAATTGGGCCGGGGGTTGTTACAATGCTGTAGGTAGGAGAATAATTGGGTCTCACTCTGACTAAAATGTTTTCAAAATTAATTTTTATAAAAAAAAAACATTATGATTAAATTAGATTAAATAAAAATTATTATAAATGTATAATTATATTAAGTTTAACATAATTTTAAGAGTTTTTACATTCATTCTAATATAATTTTTTATCATGATATGAATTTTTGTTAGATAAGTAACAAAATAGTCCTCTAATTTTTTAGGAATGATAAAAATGAGTTCCGATTGTTTAAGAAATATTTCTAATCTCTTAAATTTTTAAATAAGAATGAAAAATGATTACACAAAAGAACTATTTTAATTTTTATTTAGAGTGTTAAACAATAAAAATTAAGGATGAATCCGGTCATATTTATTTAAAAATGAATTCAATATTAATTTTTATATTAGCTAATTTAATATAAGAAGTTTTTAAATTTATTTGACTAAAATTTGATAATAAATTAATAATATGTTCACCCAATTGTTATCATTAATTTATTGACGCATATGCGATGGTGTTCGGTCGGTCATGTGATGTTTCTGGTGGGCCCCACCATGATCACCAACCACCGCATTGTATTTTACCTGAAATAAAAAAAAATATTATTCAGAGAGAATATTCGCGCCGAGTTTGGGGGGTCAGATATTTGGATATTTATTTATGAACTTATTAGTCTGAAAATAATTTTGGTGCTAATAGTTTATTATTGATTTTTATAATTAAATTTGCTTAGAATATTAATTAAAATGTAATTTATTTTAATTTTGGATCAGATGGATTTTGATTTTAGGAAATTAATAATCAATGATCGATTCGAAAAAGTTATTCCTGTCAAAATTATCCCATCACTTGCAAAAGCAACTTAAAAAATGAGTTAAAAAATATAACTAAAAATTATAAATAACTAAGATATACATAAAATTATTTTTGAGAATGTTCAAAAACATATTAATTTATTAAAAAATAAATAATTGAAAATTATAAATTAAATATAATTTTCATAAATTTATTCCACACCCACAGTTTTCTCGTACAAACAATTTCACAAAATTTTTCCACATAGCTTTGAAAGAACATTATCTATTCTCCAATTAGAGATATTTTGGTTGGGACTATTCCCCGACGACAAGCCAACCATCCTCCATTGTTGGAAAAGCATAAATCAACACAATCAAAGCCCTCCAAATCATGTACTCTCTATTCTCCATTTGTTTTACTTTTACACCCTCAACCAATATTCATTCTCTGCAATCTTTGATTGATTTACTCTAGTTGAAGCTTATTTTTGCCATTCGATAAGTGGAACTTTGTTTGAAACAGCTTTCTAACGAATTTCTATAACAGTTTTTTATTATGAAAATTTCTTCAAATCATAAAAAAATAGTGATAAAAAATTATCCCAAACGAAATAATTATCATCCCCTCCCCTCAATATAAATCCTGATATTCTCATTTTTGTGATTATTCTATAATCTCTTTTATAATATATGTTCAGCACTAATTTTATTTATCCTAAACTAATCCGTTTGATTCTTTTATAATATTGTTCTCTTAGCACTTTTGATATTTTTGTCACAGTAAATACTAATAATAACACAAATTAAATCGTAGTTATGATAGATGTTGCTTAAAATACCTGCCGTGTTCAAATGGGCAAGTTCACATGAACCGTAGTGAATTCAATAACACAGCTATAACACTTCAAGCTACTGCATCGAATTCAACTTGCTCTACTTCAAATCAGGTGCTCTCTATTCTCAAAAAAGTTCTCTAAGCACTTTTGACATTTTTGTCACAGTAAATACTAATAATAACACAAATTAAATCGTAGTTATGATAGATGTTGCTTAAAATACCTGCCGTGTTCAAAGGGGTAAGTTCACATGAACCGTAGTGAATTCAATAACACAGCTATAACACTTCAAGCTACTGCATCGAATTCAACTTGCTCTCCAGTAGCGAAGATATCCCAGAAAAGAGCACAGAACAAGTATAACAGTGAAGTAAGCAGAATAAATCCACGAAATGAACCCATCTTCTGAACGAAGAAACCCGCACCAACAGTTCCCAGAATGGCAGCCAATGTTCCAGCAGTATTAGACATTCCTGTACAAGTGAAACTAGTTAGATATGGGGGGATTTATCTACATGCCAAGAAATTTTTATATATTAATACATTTAATAAGTAAATTTTTTATACACGGGCGGAACCCGCCTTGTTCTCAGGGTTCAAAACTAATTTATTTTGCACATAATCGTTTTTCACAAATTTGTTTGTATGTGTTAGAGAAGTTCAACATAATTGGATGAAAATATCGGGAGGCTAAGAGGTTTTCCAATTTATTGAGGGGCAAATTTTGTGAAAAAAGGTCGGCTAGAGGCAAAAAGTAAAATTTGGGGAGGGGGGGATTACAAATAATCCTTGGTAAACTAAGAGTTTTAATTTTTTTAGGGGGAGCAATTGCCCTCCTCAGCACTACACAGTTCCGCCCCTCTTTATATAACATCCTAATCTCTAAATAACATCAAAATATAAATAATATCTTAAGAAAAAAATATATTTTTTTGAAGTGGAAAAATGATGAAAATGATCCATTGACACTTTATGAAATATCAAAATGATCCCCAACATGATCAAATTGAAAGATCAAAATGATTTAATTAAAGGATCATTTTGATCCCTCAAGTCTTTAAAGATGAATCAAAATAGTCTCATGACAGGATTATTTTGGTTCCTCTTTAAGGAGTTGAGGGACGAAAATGATTGTATAATATAATTGAGGATCATTTTGGTCTTCATAAAGATTTAAGGATCATTTTGATTGTTTTCTCATTTTGATATCATTTAAACACTAATTTGCTATATAAATAAATATAAAAATTAAAGTATTAGAAATATAAATACATACAAATTTCATGGTATGGAAGTAAATCCCCTTGCATATATAGATTAGTTGTGCCATATTGGCTATTATCGTACACATAAATGAATGAGGTAAATTTAGTACCATGAAGGACACCTGCATATCTTGGAGCAACTTCCTGAAAGTAGGTGGAAAGAAAAGCAGGTAAGTAGGGAAGGGAGTAGTAAACAAGGTAAATTATAACTTGCAATTCAACCATTACGTTTTCATACCTGGAAATTCACTAGAAAGCCAGAATGACTAAAAGAGCTTAATCCAAGAGCTGCAGTAAGCCAAGCAGACGCCACAGAAGGATTCTTGGCAGCATTTAGGCCAAGAAGACAAATGGCAGGACCAACAAAACCAATTGTCTGCCGAAATAAATTGAGTCGTCAAAATATAGCAGTGTGGACTAAGGGCTCTATTTGCTTGCTTCAATTTGGAAATCATAATTTTGAAAAATGATAAAAATTGTTAAATCCATTATTTGATTGGATGTAAATAAATATTAAATTTGATTTCAAATTTCACAAAGTTTTTCAAAATTTCATAAAAATAATGATTTTATCTTCATACTAAAAATGAGTGAAAACAAAATAATTATTATTGAAACATATTTTCTATTTACAAGCAACTAATTGAGCCCCCGAAACTCAGGTGTGAAATTATGATTCAAAAAAAAAAAAGAATAAATAATTTCTATCACGCTCAAGGGAGCAAATAAACTCAAGACAACTCTTCACTTCCTAACATTTTCATATAGTTTACTTGTCTTCCATAAGGACAAATGTTGATCTGAGTAATCTGATTAGATAGCTTATTACCTTATTAACTCTGAACTTTCGAATTTGCATGAATTCTTAACTCTTGCTTCAATTTGCATATTTTATTTTTCCCTATTTCATTGTTGCCCGACAGCTCTATCCAAAATCTGGTTTTTAGGTCTGTGAGGAAAGAAATCAGTTAGATTTTGGTTCAATTTATAATTAGTTTGTTTTTTTTATTTCAGTTTTAGCGAGCTGAGCTGGTCTACTCTATTTTAAAGGAATGAGCTTATAAATAGAAGGCATTCCATTTTAGTTCTATGTGAGAAGAATCAAATTCTGTTATGTTTTCCCCTCTCAAAACCGTGACTTCCCTCTCTCCCTCTATTTTTCCTCTCTCTTTCTCTCTCTAGGTGGAAGCAACAAGAGAGCAAGGTTCTCGGTCCAGAAAGGGAACCAAGGAGAATTTGTCAGAAGGTGGAGGTGCAGCTTCCAGAGGTGATCGGCTGGAAGGAGAGCAAGGTGTTGTTGCTGAAGCAGGAGAAGGAACCAACGATGAAGGAATTCAATATCCTTCCTTCTAGGTTTGTTTTTCAACAATTGATATCAGAGCTCGGTTAATAAAGATCAAGAGGAATTCAAGATCTTGTAATAAAAATAATTTCGGTGTGTTTTTCTTCCTAATTTCTTATTGTCGTTCGCTGATTTCAAGGAAATTGCATTCACTTCCTATCAAAGTGGTATCAAAAGACTTTTTTGGGACCTATGGTGGCAAAGAAAATTGATTCCTTATAAGAGTGTCTTAAAGGAAAAGTTGGCCAATTCAAATTGGCGTTTGAAGATATAATGACATCAATGGAGGAGAAGTTTTCCAACCTAGAAGTAATGATAAGGAAACTATTGGAGCTTCACACCCAATCAACAACATCAGAAGCGAGAGCACGGTTGATTGGACTGGGAAGTGGAGGAAACCCTAATATAGGGATGAGGGAGGATCGGGGGTAGAAGTTTTGGGGGACGAAGAGGAGATGCCATCTTTGGAGCTACTTCCAAGGAGAGAAAAGGTTGAATGAGTGAGATTTTTGATGGAGCTGAAAAGTTTGAAAGGAAAAGAAGACGGGGAGAATATAGAAGCATCAAATATGGTTCAACCACTCATATAGCAGTATCAAGAGGTGTTCTAGCAAGTTCAGAGGTTTCCTCATCCACAGGAATATGAGCATGCTATAATCTTGAAGGAAGGAGTCTCACCTATCAGTGTTCGTATGTACCGTCATCCCCAAATCCAGAAGGATGAGATCGAGAGATTGATTAGGGAGATGCTAGAGAAAGGGATTATTTGACCCGGTGTCAATCAATTTCTCAGTCCAGTGCTATTAGTCATGTGCTTCAGTAGCAGTTTCCTTCATTCAACCTTGAGGACAAGATGACACTTTAGGAAGGGAGTATTGATAGACCGACCGATTGATTGGGAGAGAATCAGGAGATTGTTCTAGCTGGCAGCTAGAGATTTGGGAGAATTGAATCTTCCTCTTCAATTGAACATCCAACTGAAATTACATACCCTTCCTACCATTATCATTGCCATAAGGAAGAATATTTTAAGAGCTCGGATAGAGAGAAATGACAAATAGTTGGGCTCAAAGAAGACACAAACTCAGTAGTGGCAGCAAATCCAAATAGATACAATTCAGAAGATGAATGAATAATAGATTCAAAGCTACTGTGAGGATCATCATTTTTTTGTTAATACATTGTAAAATTGGATCAAGGTGGAGATTATTAGTATTTGGTCCAATTTGTAATTAATTTTATTTCTTGATTTCAGTTTTAGTGAGTTGGTCTAGTCTCTTTTAAACGAATGAGATTATAAATAGAAGGCATTCCATTTTAGTTCTATGTGAGAAGGAATAAAATTATGTTATATTTTTCCCTCTCAAAATCGTGAGTTCCCTCTCTCCCTCTCCCCTTTATTTCTCCTCTCTCTATCTGTTGTTGGAAGCAGCAAGAGACACGGCTCTCGGTCCAGGAAGCTGGGAACCAAGGAGAATCTACTGGAAGGTGGAAGTGCAGCTGCCAGGAAGTGACAGGTTGGAAGGAGAGCAAGGTGTTGTTGCTGAAGCAAGAGGAGGAACCAACAGTGAAGGAATTCAAGATCCTTCCTTCTAGGTTTGTTTTTCAACAAAATCAAAGGTGGGTCTCTTGATTCATCATATGCCCACACGGATGTAGTTTCCAGAAGATTAGCAGCTTCGACAGTGCACATAATAATTGTTTGTGTGAGATATGACATTCTTGGAATTTATCTTTTTTCTTCTTTGACCGTGAGCATCATTAGGAATTAGCAAACAACTAGTAAGTCTCACTTGGGAATTAGGAAATGGCTAGTGAGTGCTCTTGCTATGTATATTATAATTGTAGCTTCTCTATTTTTTTATGGATCAAATCCTCTCCTCTCCAATGGATAGGTTTAGTTGAAGCCAAATCAAGTAAATATTGGTGTCTTTTAAGAAAGCTCTCTTATTTTTGTCTTTTATTTTATGGAGCCTCATTATTAATCATAGTTGATGTTTTTGCATTGTCATTTGACACTTACACACTCATTACAATAAATTGACATCAGAGCTCATAATTTTGAAGGAAAGGGAGCATCATGCAAGTGATAACCATCAGGAGAACCTGACAATAGGTGCAAACAACTGATATAAATTCTTAGGAAATTCTTTTTGTGATTTTAATTTATTGGCATAATGATGAATGAATAGATGACTCAATATGTTCTTTAATGTGTCATATTAAGTTTTTATTTCTAATTTTAAAGTGTGTATACGTAGAAAATAGATCTGGGTACTCTTTGTATTATGACACTGATGCGGACATCAGATCATGAAGATTTTCAAAGGAAGAGACGACGATTGACGACCGAGATCAGTCCACTTTATCTTAATTTGTTATTTGTAATTTTTATTTTATTATGAATTTTTCGATTTTACGCTTACTTAAGAGGGTCGTCCTATGTAAGCCTTAGGGGCATATGTGTCTTGTTTTAGTTTCTTAGGTCTATATATAGAGGCCCTTGCTTGTGTAATGTAATGTTCGATGATTAATAAAATTTTATGTTTGCACTTGTGTTCTTTGGGAAGAATCATGGATGAGATTCCTATGGAAGAAATTCATAGCTTCCACCAGCCGCAGGGTGTGATCGGGCTCGTGGCCTGATGACCCTTGGTGAATGGTAACGTAGTACCCATCAGCTGCAGTATGTGTCCGGGCTCACGGTTATCTTTCTTTCCCTAAATCCTTTCTCCTCCTCCCTTGACCGCCGGTCAAAATCCCCCAATTTCCACCGGCCAATTCTCCCATAAACCCTTTCACTTCCACAAAACCGGCCTCCCCTTGGCTCCACAAATCTCCCTTCACATTCAAAGCCTTTCCTATTTTAGCAATTCTAACTTAGTAACAAATTAAAATTTAAAAATCAAATTAAATTTAAATTTAAATTTTGTTTCTAAAATTAGGATTCTTATTTTAGGAAAGTATTTAAATTAGGTCCAGTTAATTATTTAATTGGATGCAATCTAAATATTACTCCCTAATTTAAGGTTCCAATCAAAGTCCTTTTTAATTCTCTTTCCATAACCTCTCCTCCCCCTTTAATGCCGTCAGCCCATTCCCCCTTCTTCCTCTTTGCCTCCAAAATTTAAATTCCCCTTTGATTATTTTCCTTTTATAAAAGGATTTAAGTTAGGAAAAAATTTTATTTCAAATTCTAAGTAATTTTGAATTTAAAATACTTTCCTATTTATTTCAGGAAAGTTATTTAAATTAAATCTAATTAGGTTTCTAATTGGATTTGATTTGATTTAATTATTCCTAATATTTTGATCTCAATTAAAGCAAGAAATTCAAATTTCAAATGTCCCATTTTTTCCCTTCTCATTCTACATCAGACACACTATGGCGTATTTAGGACTTTGGCTTGGTGTATCTAGGACTTTTCATATGCATGCTTTGACGTTGAATGTTTGGACCTTTAGGTTCTTTGAGTGATGCAAGGTAAATTTACCCAGGATGCTGAGATACTCAAGGTTTATAGGGCTTCCTTAATTATCGAAAAAGTTTGAGGATTGTATGTGTTATAGGGTGCAACTTCAGGAACTATTTCAATCATTTATTCTACTGTGTTGGAGCATCACACTTTGGAGAAGAAGAAAAGAGTTAGCTTTCAGGCCGTAGGAAATTTGTTAAAAAAGTTCAAGAATGAAATCTTGGGAAGATTTTGGTTGATAAAATTAATCATGTTAGCGTTGTATAGTACGTAATGGTGCTGGGTCATGCAATTGCAATATTCCATGAAAGGAGAATACCACATTAGGGGTGTGAGCATTCAGCAGTAGGTGCATGCTTAGGTTCAATGCCACAAAGACCTCTCAAAAATATTTAGCTCAGAAAACATCAATGGCCTAATAAGCTTATGTGACGTTGAGGTGTTTTAGGAGCTTAGAGTCGGTGGCTTGAAAGAAATATAGTTTTGTCACAACCTTGAGTCAAGGGGGAGAGCTGTTAATTTGACTCAATGACTTATTACCAAATTACTCCTATTATCTTATGTGAATCCTTGGGTTTTGTATGAAATCCCTTGCCTCAAGTTTCATTTTTTTCCCCATATTTTACAAGAAATTAGCTTTAAGGTTTATGAGGAAAACAATTAGAGAGAACTCTCTTGGTTTTTTTTTTTGTTTTTTTTTTTATTTTTTATATCTCTCTTGGTTCCTCACATACACTCTTAGATTTAGGGCTTATATAACATTAGAGGTTTCAACAATGCATGCAAGAAGGAAGATTTGTATAAGCCAATCTCTATATTGTAAGATTCTCAAGGATTTGTCTTTAAACACGGATGTACTTGAAAATTGAGAAAGATAGTAAGTCTCTTGTTTAGTACACCATAAATGTGACTTTTCTAAATTTTTGTGGATTTGATCCTCTCTCCTCTCTCATAAATAGAATCTTGGGTTGAAGTCAAATCATATAAATTTTGACGTCTTTTGTAGTTATTCCTGCTTTATCTTTTGTATTTTATTTTATACCACATCAATTTTAATCCTATTTGAAGCTCCATCTTCGACAATTGACACCCTCATTATAAAAACAAAGAAAAATTATGGAGAATCATGATAACCTTCCGTTGGTTAACTTATAATCATTGATAGCATATTTTTATTATAATAATTTGCAATTGTATGATCATAAATAATTAAATATTAATTCTTTTCGCTGAACTGAATGTTGAGTTATGCCATTGGTTATGAATGTAGTAAACTGAAATATAGTGTAGTAGACAGAACAAAATGTATTTGAAATGTTTGGAGTTGTTTAGAGGAATGTAAAATAAATGTAGGTGAAAGCATTCATCCTTTCAAAAAAAAAAAGCTTGGATTAATTTGTTAAACTCTCAACATATCTACACATAATACCTGCATGATTTTGCGTGTATAAGTAACGCTAACACCTTTCTTGATCAGCATGTCTGATACAGCACCAGCAGCATAACCTAGAACAGCCATCATGAACCATGGGAGTGCGCTAAACCATGCAGCTTGCCGAAGGTCAACATGATGAACCTTTACCAAGAAAAAAAAGTTCAATAGAAATTTATAATGCTAAAAGTTTAAATTTCCCGATTTTATTTATAAAACAAAACCAAGAAACATACTGTGTTGAAGTAGATTGGCATCCATGTGAGAATGACAAAATATCCCTACAAATCAAGAGAAAAAATTGTCCAATTTTGCATTATGATACGAAGGAGAACAAACAATACGTGATTTACCAAAACCTTCGGGTACTAATGAGTTGAGTACTTGAAATTTAAAAAAACTTACCCAGCTGTGCATAGCATTTGCGGAAATTAAAGTCCATGTTGGAAGTCTAGAAAGCAATTTCACCAAAGGGGGCATGATTTTTGACTTTTCATCTCTTTCTATGCGAATCAGAGGCTTCTTACCTTTAGTGATGTAGTCCAACTCATATCTTGATATTTGAGGATGTTTGTCAGGAGTACTTGTCGTTCCAGGAAGCCATACCAGCACCCAGAGAAACCCAAATAATCCAAATATCACAAAAGGCCCAAAAATCCCTGCCTTTGACATAATTATAGGGGAAATTAAGAGCCCAATGGCACTGCCAAGTTGAAATCCAGCCATTGTAATTCCAACAGCTCTTGATCGCTCAGTTTGAGGAAACCATCTATAAAAAATGACCAGCATAAATAACTCGATAAGTTTTTAAACCATACACGACCATAAGAGTGGACAAACTGAGAAGATAATAATATATTGAAAAATACTCACAATACTCTATTTATGAGAAAGAGTCTCGATCAACAACTACCTAGAAACCATGTTGTTCATGCTGGGAAGAGCAACTCCTTCTGCTATTCCTAGAAGGACTCTCATGGTGAGTAACGCCAACAAAGAAGTCTCTGCAGCCCAAGGCGTGAGAAGTGTTGCTAGGGACCAGAGAGTCACACCCCATGCCATGACAACTTTACCACCATAATGATCAACAAATGCCCCACCAATTATTGGTGACATCATGTATCCCCATAAGAAAGATGACTGCGTTTAGGAGCTGAGAAATCAGAGAATAGAAGTAAACTATAGAAAAAGAAAAAATCATATAATCCTTAAATGGTTCGATGAACTTTATTTATTTATTTATTTTTTTAAGTTCGATGAACTTGATGAGTCAGGTTACTTGGGAAAGCATAGTGTTTAAGAACGTACAAACGTACAGCTTAGGGATTCTCCATTGCAACTTGGGTGAAGTACATGCCATTATTATTTCAATGTACGGACAAGCTCCATTCCCTAGTTAGTAGTAGATTTTGTTAACCGAATAAAAGCTGCCAAAGCGGCTCCACTTACACTGTCTGCCACTCTGTCTGAGGGCTTGATCTGCAATTCTGCACCTTACAATTCAAACTGATTACTCTAATCCTAGCTGTTATTTTATTACAATTGCTGAACATGTTTCCTCTCCACTGTTACATATGGGAGGTACGGTTCTCCAGGTTGAATTGAATGAAGGAAAACCATTATGCTTGTTGCATCCTGGAATATTCGCGGCGGTAGAGAAATAATAGTCTAATGTCTTAGCATTGTACGAAGATCCAGCACACAATTAGATAAGAGAGAGAGTGTAGTGTTCATAAGAGACACCATAGTTTTTACGTGGAAACCCCTGAAAAGGGAGAAAAACCACAGGGCCTGGCCCAGTTTGAATGAATCCACTAGTATTTGCAGTTGATTAAAAATGAGGCCCTTCCTTAGGAGAAGACCTTGGCTTGATGTCACAAATGTACATCATATAGAGCGCATTATATGGTGGGAGTTACAATAATCAACATAGATGTGTTTGTTTGGTTGGAAGGACCATAGTCGGCATAAGACACGGGTTCGAAAGACCGTGATAGAAGGGCAGTACTCTGGGCGTCAAGTGGTGGCCCGGATGAAGTACGGGAGTCAGGTGGTGGCCTGGCATAAGCTCACGGCCTCAAATGGTGGTCCGGCGGAAGTTCGGGCGTCAGGTAGTGGCCTGGTGGAGCACATGGCCTCAAATGCCCGGTAGAAATCCGGAAATAAGGTGGTGGCCTGGTGGAGCATATGGCCTCAAGTGGTGGTCCGACGGAAGTACGGGCCTCAGGTGGTGGTCTGGCGGAGCTTAGGGCCTCATGTGGTGGTCCGGCGGAGTAACAATGTCAGGAGGTGGTCCGGCAGAGGTCCGGGACTCATGTGGTGGTCCGGCGGAGGTCCGGGACTCATGTGGTGGTCCAACGGAGCTCATAGCCTCAGGTGATGGTCCGGCGGAGCAACGACGTCAGGAGGTGGTCGTGCGGAGGTGAGGGCTTTAAGTGGTGGTCCGGCGGAAGTCTGGGTCTCAGGTGGTGGTCCGGTAGAGCACAAGGTCTCAAGTGGTGGTCCGGCGGAAGTCCGGGCCTCGGGTGGTGGTCCGGCGGAGCTCAGGCCACAGGTGTTGGTCCGGCGGAGGTGAGGGCTTCCAGTGGTGGTCCGGTGGAGCTCAGGCCTCAGGTGGTGGTTTGGTAGAAGTCCTGGCCTCAGGTGGTGGTCTGAAAAAGGTGAGGGCCTCATGTGGTGGTCCGGTAGAAGTCCGGGCCTCAGGTGGTGTTCCGGCAAAAGTCCGGGCCTCAGGTGGTGGTCCAGCAAAGGTGAGGGCCTCAGGAGGTGGTCCGGCAGAAGTCAGGGCCTCAGGTGGTGTTCTGGCAGAAGTCAGGGCCTCAGGTGGTGGTCCGGCAAAGGTGAGGGCCTCAGGTGGTGGTCCGGCGGAACTCAGGCGGTGGTTGAGGAGGAACTTTTTCCTTCCTTGCTTCTCTTCTTCATTCTCTTCTCTTCTTCCTTCGATCCTCCTCTCAAGAGAGGGGTCTATTAAAAGATTTTTGGAGTGGCATGGCCTGTAAATAGGTGAGAGATCAAGGGTAAATGGGGAGTGGTTAGACGGACGGCCGATGTTGAATCCCTTGATCATGGACCATTTGATGGACATTTGTATGCCTTAGTGATGTCAGAATTCAATGATCTTAGGTTCGTTGGATTCGTCTCGTTGAGCCTCTTGATTCGTCTATAAGCACGTCATGTTTGGAAACCGTTTGGTATTCCAAATTGTGGTTCGAACCTTCCAATAGTGCTTCGGCTCCTTGATTTGGAGCCATTTGGACTCGGATTGAGTCGAATTTGGTGGTGTTGGGTTTGTAATTTTGGAAGTTTCCAACTTGATTTTGCATCGAGATTCATGCCCTATCAAGATAATTTTTTGATGACGTATCACTGCTTACCTTTACTTTTTCTTTCTCATGCTACTACTCTTCCTTCTTAAACTTTATGTTTTGTAGAAACTTTGCTGCAGCAATCTAGGAAAGAAGCGTCAACATGGTATCACAGCCATGTAAGCCCCACGGCTTGTAGATTCTCGGTAAGGGTTCTTTACCTATGGCCATCATGGAATCTGAAGTTTCTATGACTAGCAATGTCGAAGCTGTTTTGCTGGTCGGTAGTTCTACAATACCCCGGCAACTTAAATTTTTAATGTCGACGGTAAAGAATTTTTAATGGCGAGCTTAAGTGCTTAAGGTGTTTCGTGCCAATGGATTCGAAGGGTATTTGGATGTGTCAGACTATGCATAAGCCGTTGGTTACTCACTTTCATCTTCTCAAGCATTTACTTTGATACCTTCAAGGAACTTTAAATTTTGGGCTTTCTATTCTTCCCGGTGATTTACAATTGAGAGCTTATTCTAAATCTAATTGGGCAGGAGATTTTCTTGATCGAAATGCTATTGTGCCTTTCTTGTCGACACTCTTATTTCTTGGAGTGTTAATAAACAAACAAAGTAGCTTGATCATCTACTGAAGTTGAATATCATGCTTTAGCTACTACAGCGGCTGATCTTATTTGGTTATATCATTTGTTACAAGAATTTCAGTTCTCTAGTTCACAACCTACTCCATCATATTGTGATAACATTTTTGATGTAAATCAAAGTAGGAATTGCGATTGAAAATTAAAATGAAAATTATTCAAAGCTTTGTCAAAACAAATTTTATTACCAACAAAATAAAGGAGTAAATCGTTCTAGGTCATTAACTTGCTTAGGCGAAGACTTGCTTTGAGATAACCAAACAATTCATAACATTCAAAGATAAAAAGAAATACTTAAATGCTCGTCACAAAAATCCCACAATTAATAATAAAGAAGTTCACCTTGAGTACCCTTTTCTCTCTCTCTGTTCACTCTTGGGCTTTAGCGGAGGAGAAAGAACCATGCGAGGATGAGGAGCACCACTACGATGAAGGCGACGAAAGACTGCTTAGGTGGCAAGTAGAGAGAGAAAAGATTGAGAGGGGTGGCCGGCCAAGCAAGTAGGAGGGAGAAGGTTGTGGTTAATTAGTGGGGCCCAAGAGATTAAATCAAATCTGATGTGTAAATTTCAGATTTAATTTAAATTTTGGGAAGTTTCCAAAGAGGGGGTAAGAGGGAGAGAATTTGAATTTGAATTTCAGAAATTAAGCCTCAATTAAGTTCCTTTCCTATTGTTGGTGAGACACATAAGGAAAGTGTTAATGAGGAATTCATTGATGGAATTTGAAATTCTAATCCAAGGAGGATGTTTGGCGGACTGATTCCCGTGAATGGAAAGCTCGGCACAGTGAAAGGGAGCTAGCCGATTGGCCTGGGTCGGCTGCTAGCACAGCTGGCGGCCAAAACAGGGGGGAGATCGTCTGTCTGGTGAAAGGAAATGGCTGTATCGGGTGGTAGGGGGGGCGGGAAGGCAAGGAAGAACGTGGAGGTGATCGGGTGAGAGGGATTTTCGGGATTTGGCTGCAGGGGAAGGGGCGGCTGTGTGGAGGGATTGGTGGGGGAGGAAGAAACAGTGAATTCACAGGTTAAAACCAAGAGCTCGCTGGGCGGGCTGTTGGGTATTGCTGGCGGAGCCTCTCCTAGGTCTCCTCTCTCCTTTCTCTCGAGCTCTCAAGCAAGAAGACGAAAGAAAATTTCAGAAAATTTCATTAATCAAACATCAACCTCATACAACAAGAAGAGACCCCTTTATAAAGGTCTCAAAGCATGAAAGAAAAAAAAGACTCATATGCCCCTTGGGCTACAACAAACACTACGCCTTCATAAGGGTGAAATCGTCACTAGTACAAGAAATAAAAGATGCATAAAATAAAAATAACATAAAAGACATGACAACATCAAAAATATAAACTCCCGATCGTAGCCGTCGATCTACGATTCCTTCGTCGATAAACCTGCCTAAAATGTCTGTCGATGACCTCATCAATTTTATCACAAGCTCTAGCTAATAATCCAATCTTTCATGCGCGCACCAAACATATTGAAGTGGAATATCACTTCATTCGTGATTGCATCAAGTCCAAGGTAGTTATTGTTCATCAAATGGCTTCCAATGATCAGATTGTTGATGCCTTCACAAAGATTCTCTCTAGACCTCGGTTTTTAGTACTGCGTGAGAAGCTCATGATCTCTTCGATACCATCAACTTGTGGGGACCTGTAACCAAATAAAATCTTCCAAAGCAGCTCCACTTACACTGTCTGCCACTGTCTCTGATGGCTTGACCTGCACCTTATAATTATAATTGATTCCTCTAACCCTAACCATTAGTTTATTACAATTGCTGCACATGTAATGATTTGGTTTCCTCTCTACTATTACATATGGGTGGGAGGTATTGTAATATCAAAAATCTGCTCCAGGATCGTCAATTTTGCTCTAGAATGTGCCAAGTTTTGCTCCAGGTGATTTTCTGTACATATCGTCCAGGCCGATTTGGACATCGTCCAGGACGATTGGCACTGTAGAAAATATCGGCCTGCGAATAGTTCTGGGAACCGTCCTACTTCTTTCTCCTGTTGCTATTCTGCTTTCTTGATGTGGACTCAAGTTATGCTACAAGCTCTGAAGAGGGAGGCCTATTTACTTCTTCCATTTACACTTTTTACCACCACTTAGCGATTCTCTGCTCTTATAACTAATTAAAGGACTATAGCATAGCATATTCCCCATTTCCTGTTTTTCTGCTTTTAGAAATATATTATTCCGGGAGAAAAGGAGAGGTATACATATAGAAACTGAACTCATAGGAAAAGCATATTGAATATTATCAATAGTTTTACTGATTGTTTAACCTTTGGTTCTCTGTTTCTTTCGTTTCTTGTCTCTGGTTCCTTTCCTGTTGCATTGCTTCCATAGTTCCATAGCATTTCTTAAACTTTACGTTTTGTAGAAACTTTCCTGCAGCAAGCTAGGAAAGAAGCGCCAACAGATTTTACAGCCCTAGATAGCAGAATGCTTGTGAAGGACTGATAAAATAAATGGAAAGAGAACTTCAGCTGATTGAAAAATGATTTATGACGCAATGCAACTTGGCCTGCTAGTTGGGAGCTTTGGCCACTAACTAAGAGGTCTTGAGTTCTGAGTCTTGTGTATGTGATGTGTGTTTGAATTTGTCTTAATTGACTTAAATGTCCAAAAAAAAAAAGATTTACGGAAGAGTGAATTTTTTTAGCAATTTTCGGAAGTTTCAATTTTATTTAAATCCTTCTACGAAATATATCAAAAGTACCTCCGTCATTGTATGTTATATACATTACCAATATTTTAAAAAATTCATTGTTTATAGAAGAGGGAGGGAGGGAGTTGTCATATTCCGTGCTTTGTATCATATCAGTTTGCCTGCTTATTTACAAATGGCCAGAGAGCCAAGGTCATGGCAATTCTTCTTTCAATAAGCGAATATCAAGTCAGATGTAATTTAAAGATGTTGTGCTGCCTGCTGTATCACATTGCCATAAGGCCTTTTTTGTTGAAATAGTAAAAGAAAATGTCATGCCCTTTATGACCAAAGGATTGCTCAGTATCAAGAAAAAATAACCAGGCTCAAGGGCTCAAGGCCCGCTTGTGCTTTTAACAAATTCTAAACTTTTTGAACCCAAGTAGTATATATCCCGTTGCATTATATTAAGCTAAGGCTATCTTTTGTTTCATATTTTGATCTTGGTATAAATCATAGAACATGTAGATTCCTTCCCCTTTGAACAAGAAACAGAATAAATAGTGTAAAATTAGGAAGTCAACCTTTTAAAACACCACTATCATGTTATATTTCCCAATTTCATATATTATAATCAAATGTAAGTGTTACCCATTCAATAGTAATCATGTTATGCGTTATTTTTAGATAACATCGTCTATGTTGTGTCGACAACAATTTCTATTTGATAATTCTTCTTGTTACTGGTCCAAGAAGAATAACGAAACCTATGGAAGGAACTTAAATAAAGTCAAGCAAAGAATCCGGGTAATGCAGATTATAGAATCTTCACTCTTATCAACTGCTTCAAACTTATGACTCAGTACTGAAGTTCACGTTTTCAAAAATAAAAACAGAGAAACCTAGCTAAAATAAATGTATAATACTGCGGCATAACCTCGAGGTTTTTTTTTTTTTCTTTGGTCCTTAAGAGTATTCCATGCATGCTTACAGAAAAATTGGTAAATTTAGAAATCCAGATATTTGGTCATTCACCAAAAAGCATATTATTCTATACTTGAAATGAATGGCTTCGAAGAATGCTCTTGGCCAAGCATCTGCAAATTTTAACTAAGAAAATAAGGCCTCAGGGTGGAGAATACTTGCTGTTAATGCAACTGCATTGCACTATAGGCGTTCTAAAAGAAGTGTGAATCCACCTCTTAGAATCTTGCACGAAATTCTGCAACTATCTTTCCAGAGATAAAAATCAACTGAAAGGGGAAAAGCAGATTTAGGGATGCAAATGCTGTACACTCATAATCCTCCAATACAAACTTGATGTAAATTTTTCAGGGAAAAAAAAAAAAACGGGAGGTCATTGTCTTAGCACTGGGTTACAAACCCCAAAACAATCCTAAAGGTTCAAGCAAAAGATCTCCATGGCACTGGATTGCCAAATCAATAGGAATCTTCCATAAAATCCTCCCTTTATTCTAAAGTTTGATCCAACTCCACAAATCCAATTTCACTCTATTAACAACCTACCTTGAAAATTTAACTACGTTTACCTTCATCATCTTATTCTAGGGCAATTATTTCTTCCTTGCATTTTTTGTTTATTTAAGATCTAACTTTTAGAGTTGAGGCTTAATAATTCAAATAAAAAAGTGCCTTAAGAGTTTTGTGTGATAAGAAGATACCTAAGATTTGTGTGATAAGACAAAATTTTATAAAATAAGAGTTAAGCTGATGATGTTAAATGGATGTGAATGTTAGACTATAAAAAAGTTATTGATATATAAGTTTAATATAACAAAAAATGAGAATGCAAAGATGGATATACGGTAAATTTAGGAAGGATGAATTAATAAGTGACTATATTAAAGAAAAATTTAGAATGATGTCTATGGAAGACAAGGTTATTAAAAATATACATAGTTGGTTTGGACACATACAATGATATAGGTAGAAAATGTGCCTATTGGACAAGGTGTTAAAATTAGTGCCGGAGAATTCAAAAGAAAAAAAAGTTAAACATGAGATTAAATTAGCAGATGTTGTTCAAAATACTTTGTGAATAATATGTTTAATATCTCAGACAACACTCATCATGAATGAATGAAAAATGAGAATTCATAACCCCTACCGCAATAGTTGGGATAAGGCTAATAATGCAGATTTGAACCATAACACTATAATAAAAATATATATTTAAGTCACAATCAATTATTATCCCTACTTGAAATTGGACATAGTAGTCCACCCATTCCTTCATAAAATTAGATTATATTTGTAACTGAAATTGCGGAACAAAAGAATTAATTGTATCATAATATTCTTATAAGTAATTAGTTTAATAGACACATCACAAACCAGATTCACCTCAGCCAGTTTATCTCTTAAAAAACTTTTCAATTCTACTACTATCCCTACTATATTTCTATTACTTATCTTCTATATAAAACAAAAGCTTATATCCATTTCTGATGCATTTAAATTTCTCCCCTTTTGATTTAATTTCATGCAAACAAATAAACTTTATTTTGCCAACTATTAGCCTTCTTGTTTGAAGTCTTGAAAGCAAATCTAATATTGCTTTTAGGCTAACCCTTGTCCACTTTCCACAGCAATTAAGTTATAGTGCATACCATAGTCAACCTTCCCCTACATGTCATCACAATTAAATTAAATTATAAGCATCACTTTCCAGTGACATACTTGTCAACTCTTGACTGCTTTTCCCCTCAATTGAGTCGGTCATCTTTCCCATTTTTATATATTTGTTCAAATGCTAGCAAAAAATACTCAGATTTTTTAAGAGAGTTTCGGTGCAGGTTTATGATCCCCAACTTTTCTACTTACACCAACTCTCAACCTTCCTCATAGAGCTTGGGAATGAGACCCAGTTTTCCTCCTAATCACCTAGACACGCCAAAAGGCTGCATGTCTCTCTATTTAGGGGTACTCTCTTTGCCACTTATAGCTCTCGCCCAAACCACCCAAAAAGATCGCAGAGACATATCATCTATTCTTCCCCCCTCATTTGAGCCTTGATTTGGTTTTGGAAGGAGCATACTGAAACCCAAGGGTTATTCTCATACAAGGTCCAACGACAATCTCTCCAGCACAATACTCCATTTCTCAAAATAGCACCTCATGAAAGATTTAAGGAAGAATCCTAAGATTCTCCACAAAATCCCCATTAGTCGAACTGATACCAAAAACTAGATAACATTGAAGTCATGATTTGAAGATTGTCAGGCATATACGTTAGAAGAATAGGAAGGACTGCTTCAATGCATATTGCCGTAATTTGAGAAATAATACCTGAACAATCCCCGAAAACGACTGGCTCCATCCACGAGCTTTGGAGAGGGGAACGATCGCCACAGACATCACTACCCGATCGGCATTGCACAGCGCCAAAGCCAACCCCAGCATCGCTACCACCTTAACCCTCTCGGAGGTGACGAATTCCAATAAGGTTGGGCTCTGCAGTTCATTCTCAGGCAAGAATGAGCCAGAAGCGCTGTTCCTAGAGATCCCCCGTTGAACTATTCTTCGAATCTCGCTTTTGGGAAACACCCATTGAAGGGGACCTTGTGAAGTTCGTCTTCCGACCGAGAGCTGGGAGAAGCGAGGCGGAAGGCCATTACCAGATATCGAACTGGAGGCCGCCCGTCGACTGGGTTCTCGAGAAATTGAAGTAAAAGGATGACAACTAACTCGATCAACGGAGTGTTGGAGAAGACTCATAGCTGCGGCCACGCTGAGACACTTCGTTAGATAGCAAAGCAGAAGCCTGGATCCCAAGCCGACGGCCGTTGACAGAACTGGAACTAATTTAGTGAATATAATAAGAATAACACAGATCTTTTGGATTGGAGCTTAAGCTATTCATTAAGAGATTTTGAATTTGAATCTTATGTATATATATATAATATGTGTATAAGTAAATAATATAATAAGAACAAAAAGTTTCGTCATCACAATTTTTTGGAATAATTTGCACATAACTTTTTTCAACATAATCAAAATAGATTTGATCGGATATGAATAATTAGGAGAATTTCAATTTCATTAAAATTAATGATGAAATTGAATGTCTTGATTAACTTAAAAATTATTTAATTCTAACACTATCAGCAGAGTTAAATACTCAAAGAATGATAAAAGATCAAGGGATTTAATATGGCTTATTTAATGGAGTGTTAATTTCAAATTTTAGTCATATTTATGAAACATGTCATTCTAAAAATTTATAAATAAATTCTTATTCTTTGCATGAAAAGTATTTTTGGTTTAGATTCAAAAAAGGTAAGAGACTTGTAAAATCACAAAGCTCCACAGGATCATCACTATCAAATCATCATTGAATCGCCATAAGTGAACCAAAGCTCCATTTCTTTTGTTGGAAAATGGCCACCACTGTCAAATTGATGCCACCCAATCTCCAACTACGATCGCCCTATTACGACCAGTTAATTATTGATGTTCAATTATGGTTCTATGATCATCATTATCTGATTATGATCTTCTAATCATCATTGCTTGATTATGATCCGCCAACCAATGTCACCTAACCAATATCCTTTTGCCCACTATCACTTGATTACAATCATCTGATTATTATGACTTAACTTTGATTATATAACCATCTTGTCTGATTAAGATATTTCAATCACCATTTACTAACTACAATCCTCTGAACATTATTGCTTGATTATTATCCTCTAACCACCGTCATCTAATTGCAATTTTTCAACTACCATTGTTTGACTATGTTCCTTTAATCGTGTCTCCATATTACAGTCCTCCAACCACTATCGCACAATAATGATCATCTGGATATTATAACCTCAATATAATTCTTCGACCAACATCCCTCAATAATGTTCCTTCAACTACGATGTCCCCCGACTACGATCCTTCGATCATTGTCTCTTGATTAGGATCCTTCAACTACTATTGCAAGACTATAGTCCTCCGACCATACCCCAAACTACAATCCTCCGTCCACTATCATCTGACTATAATTCTCTCGTTTGACAAGGGCCTCTTGAATATTGTCGACAGGCTATGATCTTTCAACTACCATCGCTCGACTACGACCCTCTAATAGCCATCGCCCAGTTATAATCCTTTAACCATTATCCTCCAATTATCTTCTCCAACCACCATCACTCGACTACGATCTCTCGATCACTATCACCCAACTATCGCCCTTCGACAATTATTACCTCATTACAATCCTCTAACCATCATGACCCGACATTGGTGCGACAACTACCTCGCTAAACTATGGTCCTCTGAGAACTATTACCTTTTTTAAATTTCTCGATCATCGTTGCCTGACTACTACTCTTCAACCACAGTTGCTCAACTACATTTGTAAGAACCTAATATTTTTTAAAATAAATTTAAAAATGAAAAAACTCTAAATGTATGTTTGATTTAGAGCACTATGGCACTGAGATTGTGAACGTCGTGGCACTAGCCTATAAGAGCAGCAGTGCAAGAAGTTGTCGCTGCGGCATTGAACGCTCTGTTATATAATAATTCTAAATTTAACATGCAACACTTTGATGCTTGGTAGTGTTGTAACTAGTGTTGCAACGCTACACACTAAAAGGAGTTTATTCATTTAAACAATAATGACTATTGAATTGACATATGAGTAATTGAGTTTTGGGAAAGGGAGTGTATAGATTAAATTTATGAATATCATTGTAACCTAACTATGAAATTATCAATCATATTAAATTCTTGCATTAATTTATTTAGGATTGATAAAGGGATAAAGAAAAAATTGATATTCAAATTCATTAATATGAATATGAAAAAATAAAAAAAGAAAGAAAGAAAAAAAAAAAGAATAAGAAAGATGAGTACATTTAAAAATTAGTATCCGTTAAAGTTCAGTTCCAAAAAGCATATGAATACCTAAATCAAATAGGACAAGATAAGTGAACTAATATATGTGATGTTGCACTAATGAACTTCTAATTTAAATGCAAGCATAACTAGTCTCCAAATGATATATTATTCATATCTAAAATCAGAAGTCAAAACTTTCATATACACTTACAATGGATAAGCTCAATTTAAGAAATAACAAGGATGATTAATTAGGCTAATTATTTATAACTATTCAAATTAACATTCAAACTTTGATCATTCTAAATTTCATCTAGAAATTGAAGTATGTTATTACATTTTAATAATTTTAAATTATTAATTTTTATCTAGGCTAATAAACAAAACAATAGATGATTGCACCATTACTTCACTTAAGCAAGAGTTTAAGTGAAAATATGATGTTTTAGTTGATATTGTGTAGAAAATATTCATAAATAAGGAGAAAATTTCACAAGTGTTGAACTAGCGCCATAGTGCTCCTACCAGCGATGCATCATTTATAATGTCTCGGTGCCAGATCAAGAAATCATAGGGATAGAGCCTAGGGAAAATGGAAAATAATTCAATTCCTTATATAAGTCAAGGTCAATACCACAATGTTTCATAGTGACGTAACATTGAAAATAAATGTCACAACGCCCGAGTCTTGGGAATTTGAGCGTTGGAGCACCGAACATTATAACACAGTAGTACTAGACTTCACATTCAAAAGCCGCAATGCTCAACTTTTACATTGCAATGGCTAGAATATAAGTAACAATAGAGTGAAGGATTTTTCATCTTAGCGTTGCATAGATATTCAGCACACAAACAGAAGATAATAAACCCTAGAAAAATACCACATATTTTTAATGTGGAAACCATAGAAAAGTTAAAAATAATGGGACTTGGCTTAGTTCAAATGATTCCACTAGTAGTTGAGTAGATTACAAATCTTGAAACCGTCCTTTAAGTCGAAGACGGTGAAATTACAATAAAAGGGAGAGTTGAGTGAAAATTCGGTGTCAATCAGCGGCCAAGTGGAAGTCCGGCGTAAGTTGTCTATAGAGCAGAAATCTGGCGTTGATTGGTGGCTGGGCAAAATTCTGGCGTTAATTTGCATCCTGGTGAAAAAATTGGCGATAGTCCGACGCTAGTCTGTAAAACCCGCAAAAAGC